CTTCTTGGATACAGACATCTGGCAGATGTCTAAGAAGAGATATTTTAAGAAAAGGCAGTGGATGTTCTTTTTTCATATATACAGGAACACTTTTCTGGGCTACCTCTTGCCTAATGTAAAGGGGCTGGAGGAGACAGACAGGATGTAATCTGGGACCAAAACTGATTGTGTTTTCCTCTGCCATCCTCCAGGTTCATAGTCTAGTTTTGTTTTGCTTCCTTTACATTCCAGTAAATGTAACAGATGGAGATCAGATTTGGCCTTTTGAGACGTCATCGCCTTCTGGGGATGAGAAAATTGTCTTTTACTTTTATTTGCAGTTTTCCTTGGGGTTTTTTTTTCCTGTTAAACTGAAAACCTGAAAAATTAAGGTTGTTTACCTTGACTACCAGATATCTGATAGCTTAGTAGCAGAGTAGTTCACTTGCAGTGAACTTGGTGAGTGGGAACTCTATATATATTTTTTAAATATGTATATATACAGTCATGAAAGTGTCAAAGACAGCCACCCATTGTTAAGGTTGTCGTTGATTGGTGGACGTCTTAGTTAGACAGTCATTATAGTGTAAGAAAAAATATAAGAAGAAAAGTGGGAAGGGGTTGTTTGTACAGATGACTATCTTGGACAAATAGCCATTAGACTTAGAGCAGGTTCGACTGTAGGATGTGGTATTGTGCGATGTTTCCTGGATCCAAAACTGATCATGTTATCCTCTGCTATCCTCCAGGTTCATCATCATACTTTAGTTGTTTCATTGTTTCCTTTTTATTGCAGTGACTACAACTACAACTACAACTCTAGATCTCGAAGAGATTTGGTCTTCTGAGGCGTCATTGCGTTCTGGGGCTGAGACCGTTGGGTTTTCTGTTTGGTTTGTCTATTCCTTGGTCTGCTTTTGCTGTCGAAGCTTGTATAACAGGGCTTGGGAAATTTGACTGCCAGGTACCTAACACAGTTACAGCAGAGTCAATGTTTAGTGTGACTATGACAATATGATGTAAAAATCTTTGGCAAGGTGTGTAACATTTCAAATGCCATAATCTCCTTGGTACTGTTTGTGGTGGAAAGAAGCCTGTACAAATATCGCGATGCCTAATCTTTCAGTTCACGTCTACTATGATGATGATAATAATAATAATAATAATGTGTATAGCTCTTTTCGTCTATGCAGACGTTCAATAGAGCTTAAGATGGTCTCAAGGTTGTCTTTACGCTGCTTCTTTCATGGCATTTTCTTCCTATGTTTGAAGAGTAGATAATAATAGTGTATGACATTTATATATTGCACTCAACCCTGATTTAAAGAGCACATACTACTGTGGGCGCTTCACAATGGAAGTAGCAATACATCAACAGTACGTTTTGTTCTAACTAAAAATTTAGACATACATCAATTGAATCTAAAAACAGAAGAGACTTCAGCTGAGATTCTTGAGAAATGACTAATGAGGGACTGTATTTGGTCGCTTTTAAGGACAAACGGGTTAACCCAAATTTCGGGGGTTTCCAGAAATCTTGACCTACACCAAAAGTGGGCATTGCCCTACCAATAGGAGAAGTTTGGTTTCATTAGTGTGTATATATATATATATGTTTGGTTATAGAAAAAACTCTCCTTGTCTTTTAAAGAAACTGAACAAGGGGCAAAAACTTTACCTTCGATTTTCTCAAAACAGCATTTTTCGGGATAGCCCCCTTGTGCTTAAAAGCGACCATTTATGAGTTTTCATAATATAATAATGAGTAGAGGAAACAGTAACAAGAGATGCCTTGTATTGCTGTGAAAATCATGACTGGGTTGGGGATAGCCCCATCATTGACTTGATCGCGCCCCCCCCCCCACCAACACACACACACTCACACACACTTTCAACCTATCATGACGATATGGTTTCAATGCCACTGACAGATCTTCCTCCCCGTTTCTGCCCATTCTCCGATTCACAACGGTTAGATGAAAGTACAGTCTTCTCCTCCGGAGATGTGCATGGATACCAAAAAAGATAACAGTCATTATTTTCAAATCGCCATGGATAGTCTGCTCCATATGAAGACACAAGCAATATTGTGGCTAGCTCAATTCTTTCTCGAAGTCAGTCAAAAGGTTCTCTTTAATTGTGCTATGCTTGGCCACAACACAACCCACCATAATTTATAATGGGAACCATTGTTCAGCATGTTTGTGTTATTTAATTTCAGAGCAACTCAGTCAGTACAGGTAATTCGTATCGAATGTGTATTAAAACTAATTTTTAAAAATTAAGCTCGTTACCGTAGCTCGGGAAAACATTTTATCGTGGCAAGCAAATGAAAACACTTCACTTTTCACATTGATTGTGTCCCCTTACTTATAAGTTAAATCTTATGTTGTTTAATTCAAAATTACACATGGATGAAGTTGAAATTTGTCAGCAAGACCATTATTAATCATATTACTAATACCAAATTTGGTTGTTGCTGTCTGGAAATGTGTGCAGGCTTTACAACCTTTCAATATTTCTTGCTTTGCCAAATGTGGTCGGGCGTCAGTTCTGTAGGTTTCTAAACTTGACCCTGACCATGGTTGTTCATTCTTTTTTGATGTCTGTACAAAGCTTGCTTTTTTATCACATCAATTATATAATCTATGGTCTCTTGCTTTAGAGATGTGCCTTTACCCAGAATTCATTCCATTCCAATAAAACAGTGCTTTGTGCCCCTTGACAATACCCCCCCCATTATATCTCTCTCACACACGGTTTAATATATTATATTATAATCGACTTTGGACTTGTTCATGTTGTGTCACGGTCAGTGTTTCTCCATTCGTTTTGTTCACCCCAAGAGATTCTTCATCCTGCAGGTTATGAAAAAATGTACTGCGTTTGTGATTTTGCTGTCTTCTTGTTATAGTTAGGCCTATGTATTGTAGGTATAGGTATTTTTAAACACATCGGAGGCAGGACCTATGAATGATTTTGACATTTGTCTGGTGGGTGAAGCCAGGGTGAAGTGGTTGCTCCCAACCATACCAACACTAGGGAAGGAAAGTAGAAGTAGTGACAGTCAGCTCTTAGCTGCTGGCTCACAGAGTTAGGGAGAAAAGCAGAAAGTACATACAGTTTTTTTGCAGAGACTACAGGCAACACATTAACTGTGGTGCAGTTTGTTGACAAACTTGGCTAACTCAAACTGGCAGAAGTCTGGGGTTCCAGTCTACTAAGTGTCAGAATTTTTCCGGCTATTTCTTTGGGTCTGGTGGGGGACGGAGTGCCTTAATTCCATTGATCTATATTGTGTATAGTGCTCATGTTCAATTTTTATTTTGAATGATTCGCATACCAGGTTTTGATTGTACTAATTTGTGTATATATACTTTAAATGGCTCATATGAAAATGTGTTTTATACTAATACTAATAGTTTTTTAAAACAACGAAAATAAACTTTTTGATTGAGATACTTTTGAATCATGTGTCTTTCTGATGGAATGGTATGACTTTTTAAATTGATAAAATCTGGGCAATTTTCTACACAGATCACTGTCATTGCCACCACTTTTCGTTCTACAACTACTTTTAAAAATTGCAGCACTGGTGCGCATTATGGGCGTGCAAATGAAGGGCAAAACACCGGTCTCGCTATAATCATGGGGTCAAGCCGCCTATCCCTCCATTTGGTTCCAAATATAGGTAGTCAAATCATGCGTACAATGGTGAACCAGAACGGAGTGCACAGTCTTTGATATAATACAAGTCTATGAAAAGAGTGGAGAGAAACAAAGATGCGACGTCATTGGTTGAATTTCCTGTATGGTGGAGTCCACCTCTTGCACACTCAACCACACTTTAGCTCTCTTGAAGTAGACAATAGCCTGAGTCCCCTCATACATTTGAATATTTCCCATGAGGCTTTTGTTGTTTATTTTTTAAATGTGGGCTTTTTAATTATGTAGCCTATGTGAGGCATCGTGGTGAAATCAGGCGCTCGTCAAAAGAATGAAATTAAAGAAATTGTCTTTTTTTGCAGATGGCCATTTTTTTTCTTATTTTCTTTTTTTTGTCTTAACACTTTTTATGTCCATTTAAAAACACATTTTTGTGTGGATTTTACTGAAAAACATTGATTAAAGGCACAAAAAAAGTACATGTTCAGTTTTCAAGGACTCTCAGGCCATGGAAGTAACCAAACTTTGGCAGCCATTTTCTCGCTAATTTTACCTCTGAAACCAGGCAACCCTGACCACCTTCAATCGCAAATATTTCTACTTCTATTCAACATACAAGGACATTTCTTTCACCAAAAGAAAGGCAAATGAAGAGGCTTTAAGATGATACAAATAATCCCATAAGTGCAAAAATTGACGAGCTCCTGATTCCACCAGGGTGACACATATGCTCCCATCAACACAGTTTAGAACATTTAGGAGACGGGCTTCGACTCTGCCAGCCAGAATCAACCCTGAGCTCAGAGGGATACATCATCCGTCCCAGCAAACGGGCCGTGTCTGAGACATGGACTGCTATTGACAAGACAAAAATATAGGAAAAAACACAAGGGTGTCATGGAACAGTGACCATATTAGGTAAGAAAACATTCCAAAGACTCGCTGAGGTCACAGGTAAAGAGGTAAGGTTACGCCAAGAATAGACTGGATTTGCTTTTATTCACATAATTCACCATTTCATATTGTACAAGAACAACAATTCATTGTCACATAAAAGTTTTGCCACAGACTTGGACTAAATATGAGAGAAGACACCACTGTCTGATAAATGATCCATCAATACAATGCTTAAATCCCCCACCCCCATCCTAAACATGCCGCCATCTATAAAAAAAACCCTACAAAGTGGTTTATAAATATGAAAGTGGGTGGATGGTGGGTGCTCTGGTGTGGTTTCTCCTTCTTTCCTATCAAACCTCTATCGTCCTTATCTCTCCTCATTTTTTAAATGTTTGTTACTTTCTTGTAACATCTCCAATCTTCGGCACTTAAATGACCTTTTTTTGTATTGTAAGTGCAGTAAAATCTAAATAAATAAGTAACAAAAGCATACAGGAAAAAAACCCTAAGACAGCCAGTAGTCCAGATTCACAATGCAACACGATGAAAAACACTTCAACAATGGGAGAAAGACATGCCCTTCAAGAAGGCACAATTTTAAAAAATAGCAAAGTGAAGTCTCCATCATCGTCTTCAGAAGCTTTTCTGGCCATGAATATAGGCTGGGATTTACCCCCTGGTTTCAGGAAATTTGTGAAGACCCCCTGTCCAGATCCAGTAAAAGTCGTTCATTTGACACTCCACTCAGTCATTAAGTGAAAAATGTTATCAGGACTCAGAACCAGACAAACATGGATCTTCCTCCTCATTTCATTCTCATTCTGTCCTCACTATCAAAGATATCTAAAAAAGAAAAGGTAAAGTAAAGACTGGATTTGCTTTCATTATACATGATTCTCCAATTCATACTCAATGAGAAAAACAATTTGTTGACCTACAAAAGTTCCATCAGGCCAGGAAGAAGACACCACTGTATTAAGATGATCTATTCAATACCTAAATCTTTTCCATCACACTCTAACCCCTGCCCTTTCCTCAATCCAAATTTGCCCCATTCTAAAACCTAAAAAAGACTAGCAAAGCAACGTATAAATATAAAATAAATAGATAACAAGAGATGCATGGAGAAAAAAATATAAATAAACGAGTCATAGCCAACAGCCCAGATTTGCAACGCGATGAAAAGCACTTTGGAAACAAGAGAAGACATGCATGACTAGTGGCTGGCACAGGTCAAGATTCTCCGTTAGCTTGCTTCTCTTCCACAGTCTTGAGGTAGTCTCTGTACTTCTTTTCCTGAGCCTCATACAGCTTGAGCACTTTCTTCATGGCTGACTTGGTGAGTTCCTGGCCCGCTGCATCATGTGTGGGGAGGCCCTGACAGAAAAACACACACACCCATGAATTTTTGCATTTGTGTTGAGTTACTAAACAAAATGACAAGCGGTGGAGTCTGCTTAAACCGAAATCTGCGGGTCCATTAGATTTTTTGTTGCTGTTGGCTTAGAGAGGTCACTCAAAATAGAAAGAAAAAATGCGATCGAGAAGAAGAAGAGAAAGAAAACAATTGGAGACATTATTTCCTTTCAGTTTACTTGACCTGCATGTGAGCCTCGACCAGATTGTCCGAAAATTTTGCGCACACCACACAACCCCCCTCCCCCAAATCCATTCCCCCCATAAGAGCTTTTGAGGGTGTTGTGTCATAAAAGGAAGAACTTCCGTGTAACGAGATACCACCCAAACAAACACAATAAAGAAGAGACCTAACCTTAACCCAAACCCTAACCGTAACTCTACTCCTACTCCTACCTGTATCCTTAAAAGTAGCCCTCTATTCTACTTTGTGTCATAGATCTAGAGGGCGCTCGTATTGAAGTCCTCCTTCATAAAATAACAGCACTTGTAGAGGTACATGATGAGGGCATCAGCCCCTAAAAAAGAACCTGCAATGGTCCTTCGCCTTCAGAAATGTAAATAGCCAGCAGAAGTCCAAAATGAAAAAAACCCAAAAAAAACCCACACCCCAAAACAAACAAGGTCAAGGAGTATTTTATGGCCTACATTGCTATAATGAGGTTTGATACAATAACACAATAGAATTGGAACATATGAATCCTCCATATTGTAATCTAGATAAATCTAGATCTAGATCTAGTAGAACAAGTGAATACGAATAGGCCTGAACGAAATCCGCATCCGAACAGATGGACTCAGCTGAGTCTATCTAATTAGTAATAGTTTACGCACCTGATGAAAAAATATGCTCTTTTATCGATATTAACGTTACAGCACACCCTATAATAGGGTTTGATATAATAGAATAGGAATATGAATCCTCAATGTAGGTCAAAAAGATCTATATATATCTAGACCTAGATCTAGTATAACAAGTGAGTAGGCCTTAATGAATGAATCCACATCTGAACAATCGGTCAACAGATGAAATTCAAAATGGCTGCTTGAGCTCGAAACTGAAAGTAGAGCTAATATAGGTCGTCGTCCTTTTTTTCTATTCGTATTCTACTCAGGTCGGAAACGCCGACGTCGGTACAAAAACGAAAGTGCAGACAAAGCCGACCGGAGAAAAAGGGGGTGCTGGCAATCGGCCAGACTTCACACTTCGCACATTGACAAATACAAGTGGGCCTAGCGACAACATCGGCCGGCTCGCGATTGTCGGATTTCAGCAATTGTCGGCAAACATGCAGGTTTAGTTGACCACTGTTTTCAGATTAACACACGCTGTCACTTTTTCCCCGATTCTGTTACTTTTATTTAGTGTGACTCAGCAGCCCGCCAGAGCTCCCCGGCTCGGGGTCACCGGGTTAATGAGCCCTGAAGCGACTTTGCCAGTGTCGGATAAGAAATTCGCATTTTTGTCTACGTTTGAAACGATATAGCTTCTTTCCCATCCCACACAGCAAACCATAACACTGATATACTAAAAGCTCAATGTCTTGACATTTATTCTGCGTTAGAATGGTTAATTTCTGTTCTTTAGTTTTTTTTCTAGACAGGTGTTTGTAGAGTACTCAATTTGTCCTATTTTAGTCACAAACTTATGAATAAATGATTGTCTATTTAAAAACGGCATGACAGACCTCTCGAAAATCTGTGTTAAACAGACTAGAAATCAGTGCAAGTAGTAATATTCAAGTTATATGAGAAGAAAGATGTACATGTGCATTTTTAAATAATAATAATAATAAATAGCATTTGTATAGCGCATATCCCCGCTAAACAGCAGGCTCTATGCGCTTTACACTATATTAATACCCCAGCAAACCATAGAACACTCTGAAACATTCTCAGCTTCCCGGGAAGCATACAGTGCAAGCAGCTGATTAAGCGTTCAAACACTAACAAACTGACAAGATCTTTCGCTGTCTATAGCCGGGTACCCATTCCCACCTGGGTGAAGTGAGGAAAATTCGAGTAAAGTGCCTTTCCCAAGGACACAACGTCGGGCCCCTGACGGGATTTGAACCCACGACCTTACGGTTGCGAGTCCGAGAGGCTTTTAACTAAAGACACTCAGCATAAGCTCTTGTTTTACCATTAAACATGAGAAAGTCACTGTGCATTTGTTCACGAATCATGCTGTGTCTGTGGCAGTCTGCATACAACTAAAAAAGATATATTACGCGATTTAAAACCCCCCAAAAAACTGTAAATACATGGGTAGAGATAAACTTCTTGTATGGAATAAAAATAATGACAGCTAACACATTCATTCTTAGTTTTTGTGTCGGAAGTATGCGCGCACACTCATGAATGTCAAGAAATTAGATATGGTCAGTTATTGCAAATGGTCATTGAAACGAAAATAAAAGCTGGAAAAGTCTGGTGGTGATTCAGTGTCACTGGAAAGCTAGAAGTTATTCTTAGAACCCAATTACGAGATGACTTATTCAGTCAACTTCCAAAACCTAAATTCAGCTTTTCAAGAAAAGTACAGAATTTCTGGGGTGTAACACCAACAGACACTGTTCGTGTATTGCATTGTAGATGTATTCCGGCACTTAAACCGATTCGTATTACTTCATAGAGAGACTACAGGGTAATTCTATGAACTTTTGAGAAAATATGCGAATATTCACAATTACATTAGACACATAAAGTTGTACTTGGCGAAATTAATTCATAGCGAAATGTGCGCAAGATCGTTAAAGTTGCAAAATTACAGCCTTCTATTATATGCTCAGATATAATCTTTTCTGAGTATCTGCACCAATGTTATGTCATTCATGTTCCAAAAGTTTGACAGTTTTTGTCATGCAGTTTTTTTCATATTGACTTTTTTCATTCACACTTATCAAATTTTTTTTACAATTTAGCATTGCCGACTTCAGTGGGTCTAACGAAACAACCAGACAAGTTACAATGTCAGTTCTTTTTTGAGTCTCAAGAGCAGAAATGCATGCTTTGGTTGCATTAACACTTTCCCTAACACAGACCTGCCCTCGCTGGACCGAGAGCCGCAAAATTTGGCTTGAGTGGCTCGCTATCTATTCCAATCCAGTAATGAAAAGACACGAAATTCTCGGCCCATCCACATTTTCAAATTAATAGAATAGACTTCCTGTTAGCAGATACGAAAGAAAATATAGCACTGAGAGACGAATTTTAGTCATTTCAGCCCTTTTTTTGTCCCCTTCTAAACGTAAAAATGAGAAGAAAAGAACTCTCCTGACTTCAGTATACGTCTCATATTTTCACTTCTCTATTAGGTACACGTACATAACTTTCAGCATTTTTTCGCATTACTTGAGGCAACCTACCTGGGAAGTTTGAATGATGCTGTTGTTGTACTTTTTTTAGAGATGACCTTTCAAAGCTGGAAAATTGTCGATTTCATATGACACCTTCAATATTGCATAATCACTTTTTAAAACCCCAAAGTAATATTATTTAAATAAATCTTCAATATTGTATCGCCAACTGATAGATCATTTTTTAACCTTCAGTTCGATGGGCAAAAAGATATGGTTTGTGTGTGTATAGTTGGATATTTTGACATTTTCCTTTGGTGGGGTAGGGGCGTAAAAATAGGTCAGGGAAAAGCCCTGGGCCAGTGGTGGATTTTGGCCTGGTAGGAAAAGAGTAAAATGATAATTACTATAAATACAAGGATAAACCTGAAACTGTGCGTTGAAAAGTACCAAAAATTAAGTCAGCCCAAAAAAAGCGGCGATAGGGAGCTGACCCAGTAACCCCGATGTGATAAGGCGCTCGGCCGGGAACTCCCCGCTGCAACTAAAATTCCACTGCCAGTGCGTCGTGAACCGTGCTCGGTTTAAATGGACTCCACTGTTTATATACAAAGCACCATAACAACAAATTGGTGTGCAAGAAAGACGAGATAGATTGAAACAACAAGGGAAAGTTTTAAACAAGTGGGATCTGCTGGCAGAACCCTCTAATTACCTAAGCATCATGGGTGCAATCACTTATGACAGCAAATCCCTACAAAAAGCAGCAATGTCAGGGAAATTCAAAGACATTTCATCTGTCACTCTGGCCATTTATTTACCCCCCCCCCCAGGAATTTTAACAAGAAGGGCAATTGTCCCAGCGGTGGGAATAAAGAAGAAGGAAAAAGGAAGGAAAGAAAGACGTTGAAACAGATAAATCAAAGTCAGAGTCACATAGATCAGTCATATACCCTTTGGGGGGGGGGGTCCCCAATCTACAGAACATATATTGAGCACAGATAGACACCTTCTTATCAAAAGCTGAATATTTGTCAGTCTCCTTCCTAAACATCTCCGAAGGTGGAATTCTCTTTTGAGCTTCTTTCGCAGCCTGCAACGAAAGTGAAACACGAAAGCAATTAGTAGTTACCTCTTTGGTGTATGTTAAAAACAGTTCCAGAAACGGGTACCTTTTACTTTCACCATTGACACAACAGTTTTTTTCTACAAAGGGTACACATTCTCAAACATTTAACTCTTGAGATAATGATAATAATATAATGCCATTTCTAACTTGTCGACCATATGAACTTGCACAGACAAAAACATAAAGCTCAAATTTCCAAATTGTTATAAAATCCTTTTCCTGAGTCAGTATTCATCATTATGAAACTAAAACTTTTGCTATGTTTCCTGTTTATTCTCTCTGTCTTTCTCTCTCCATACAAGAACAGCTCGCTCTCTCCTTATCTTTATATGGTTGCTTTTAAGGACAAGCGGGCTAACCTAGATTTCCGGAGTTTCCAGAAATCTTGACCCACACCAAAAGTGGGCAGTGCCCTACCAATAGAAGTTTGGTTTCATTGGCGTGTATATTTGTTTGGTTACAGAGAAAATTCTCCTTGTCTTTTAAAGAAACTGAACAAGGGGCAAAAACTTTACCTTCGATTTTCTCAAAACAGCATTTTGCGGGATAGCCCCCTTGTGCTTAAAAGCGACCATATTCAGTACAATATTTGAGGCATGGTGAAATCAGGCCTTTGTCAAAATAATAAAATCAAAGAAATCCCAACACAGTCACAATGGTCTAGGATGGCCAGCTATTGTAGAGGAGAAAAGTGGTCATCTTACTGCGTATTTATAGAGTGGCTTGGTTTAGCAGGACCGGGTCTTAGCTTATTGAACCTGCTTTGTGTGATGTGCATTGACAATAGTGAGCTACTGTGAGAGAAAAAAAAGAGAGAAAGGGGGAGAGTCAGCAGGGAGGTATGATGAAACGGCCCAATTATTCATTCGTATTGCACAGATCTGTAGGAATTTCTTTATCAAGTTATCAAGTTATCAGCAAATAAAGTTGCAAAACGTATAATAATGAAGGAGAAAAAGAGGATTTGAAATCCTTTGGAAAATAGGAATTCAGCGTTCAACAGAACACTGCAATAGACCTAGAGGATGCTTACAACCGAGTTGATTACGGCAAGCTCATGGATCTCCTGATGGAAATGGATGTTGACCCCTGGTTGATACAATGGATCTCCGAAGCTCTGTTTGAGAGGAAGGTGGTGCTGAGAAGTGGGCGATGGATGTCAGACCCAGTAGTGATAGCCTCAGGACTGCCACAAGGATCAGCATTATCACCGGTTCTGTTCAACATATATACGTCCAAAATTGCTAGGATCGGTGAAAGTGGAGCAGGAAGAATCCTAACATTTGTAGATGATGTGAAGGTCTACGGACAAGGTCGTGATAGGCTAGCGGTTGGACGGATGCTACAGGACAGGCTGAGCAAGGTCGCAGATTGGTGTGAGGAATACAATGCAGTCATCAATCCAGACAAAGCACAGGTCATCTGGTGCTCATTCAACAGCCGTATTGTGAAAGAACCTACGCCTCCAATTGTGTTTGACCACTTTCTCATAGACAGACAGCATGAGCTGAAGTACCTGGGAATCACTCTGGACAGGACACTTTAGTTCCCAAGACATATTGACAATGTTGCTGTCAGGGCTCAGAAGGGCATCAATGTAGTGAAGAACTTGGCTTCAGCGGGAATTCTACAGAGAGTTCTTTTTCTCCTAATGCAGCTGGTGATTCTGTCAGTCATAGACTATGGGCTGGGCATCTTCTTCCTGTCCAAGACTCAGATAAACAGGTTGGAGAGAGTCGAGAATGCAGCTATGAGGGCCGTTCTAGGTTGCACAAAGGACACCCATGTTGTCTGTATGAGATACATCCTTGACCTGGCCAGCATCAGAGTGAGGCATAAGGTGGCACAGACAAAGCAGTTCTTGAATGTTTTGGGAGACCCGAGGCTTCCTTAGCATGACAACCTGGGCAGCATCAAAGTAAACAGGATCTAACGGGGCAGCTCATGGATGGCAGAAGCCGAAGACCCCTTGAGGAAAGTTTGTGGCATCGATGGAATATGCTGTGAAAAGGAAAGGTTTGAACTGAGCCCCGATTGCAAAAGCCTGGCCAACATTCACATCACTATGGGTCGTGAAAGACGGGAATGTGCTGCTGTCATTAACAACAATGATATACGACAGTTAATTGAGGAGCATTCCAAGGGTGAGAAAAGTGGACGGGGTTTTGTGGAGTACAGTGGGAACAAAGAGGTTCATGGCCTGTCAGGGGCCATAGAAAGAACAACTTCAAGCATGAAAATGGAGATTGAGGCCGTAACAAGAGCGCTTGGATTGCTTCATAATACAAGACCAAGAACTACTCATCTCATCATTGTCACGGGCTCCCAGAGCATCTTGCGAAGGGTTGAGAAAGGGCTAATTCGGAGTGAATGGATGAACCCAATACAACATTCATCACTTAGAGCCATCACGTGGATATTCTGTCCTGGGCACTCTGGAGTGAAAGGCAATGAGGAGGCGGAAAGGCTGCTGGCAGTGCCGTGGTTGATGGTGAGGTGAAATTTGACAAAGGAGAAGTGTTGAAGACCCTGGAGAAAACGTTGCGGGATGAAGAAGACAGGGAGACAACAGAACACCACGCAATCATTAGGATGCGGGAAATGGGGATAGAGAGGGGAGAAGGAAGAATGGAACGACTATCTGGAAAGGAAAGACGTCGCCATAATCAGACAGCCACCGGAACAATCAGTATGGATACCTAGCGGGCTTTGGTGCTGGGGGGAACTGAGCACTTATGGATCTGTCCGGTGTGCAATAACTTTGTTGCCCTGGACAGGATGCAGAACAGGATCTGTATTTATACCCCCCAAAAAATCTCTTGTTTTTCTCTCTGTCAGGCCAAATGGATCAAGACAAAATGCAGTATGTCAATCTCACCTGCTCCAATTCCTTTTCCTTTTTCTTTCTCTCCTTTTCTGCTTTCTTCTGTTCTTCTATCTGTCGAAGACAATATAAAAGAACCATTGACAGAACCATTAGACAAGAAAGCCAGCAAGATCTCTGGATATGATTTTACTAGAATTGATGAAAAGTATAACATCACAAGTATAAAGAAAATAAACAACATTATAAACGACCAATCATACCTCCTTTCCACATAAATTGTAAGATCAGGGAGCGGCAGATATGTACCTTTAAAAACTAAGAAAGAAAAATACAAAAGAAGTTTCTTATCATCTAGTATAAAGCTACTGTCAGAATAAACATCAAAGTGTATTGCTTTTTCGAGTAGGTATCTATATATATGTATAACTCTTATAACTCTAAAGGTCTTGTAATTAAATACCTACAAAGGTTTGAATGATGCATCTGATGTGATATGTACATTTGCCAGCTTCACTTTTCTTTTCATATTGAATCTTAATGAGAGTAATATATAATTTAACTTTTATATATACTTGCATGTGCTTTTGCGGTCCTGTATAGCCAAGAAAAATCCTCCCCTAGGATAATAAAGTATTATCTTATCTTTAAAAAATCAAACAGACTCTACAGTGGAAGTACTTAACTGCCTCAAAACGAAGGTGAACCTGAACCTCACTTCAATTTTGCTACTCCACAAACCAATACCACTGAAACAGCTCATCCCTCCCAGTGGTAAAAACCATGAACTGCAAAACTCAGAGAAACTTCTACTCATATTCAAATTTAAAAAAAAAAATTTTTTTTGCTCACATATTCCTGTTTAAAGTCTTAATATTACGAAGTTCCCCATACGGTGTACCTGATACTTACCCGAAGTTTTTCAGCTCTTTCCTTCATTAGAGTGTCCTTGTCAACCAGTTTGATGACTGGTGGTGCCCCCTCATGATCCTCCAGCCGCACACCCAAGGCAGGTAATGTGTCATCCCGAACACGGTCGCATTGTTTCAGAATGTCAGTGGCTGGAGGAAAAAAAAAGTATCCTTTACTTTTCTGAGAGCTAAGCACCCAATTACATATTGAAATCTACTTTGAAGACAGAACAATTGGTCCAGGAGTTACAGAAAAGATGAAGAAAAGAACGAAAATATGAAGACAGAGACGCTACACTGAGGTAAAAACCACACAAATACATCAGGCTATAGATGTTTCTCTGCCATTCCACTTGATGGTCTACTGCGATGATCTGTTCCACCAAAATTTACGCCTGAATGACCCTTAGCCTAACCCAAGCCCGTATAGACAAAGAGGGAAGATATTTATAGTTTTGAGGAATGTAGCAGACTAGTAGACAGTCAAGTTGAACAAGTAGGACGAAACATTGCGGTAGACCATCAAGTTGAACAAGTAGGATAGAAACATTGCGGAAGACCATCAAGTTGAAGACTTGTAAGTGTTCAGGTGGTAGAAGAAGAAGAGAAACATTGCAATTCGTGGTGTAGTGAGTGCTAAATACTGCTTCTTTACCTGCAAGCGCAGAGGGTGTGCTAGAAAAAGGAGTGGACCGCTTGGCAAGCAGTGGGTTAACGATTCATTAACCCTCATCCTGCGGGAGCCGGGTTTATGTCACCCGATAAGCCTATTTCGGCACCTCGCCTACGTTCTGGTCCCGAATCAGTGTATTCCCTGGCTCAGCGCAAGCGCAGCGCACATCCTCTTCCATGTCTTTCGGGTCCCGAGTCGGATCCCCATTCACGCAGGTCAAGTGTGTGAGCGTCAGTCTGCTTGAGTTTGTTTGCGTTTGTGGCTTTCTTCTAGAAACGCCTGCGTTGGTTCGTAATCGAGGCATACGTCTCATTCAAAACATGCCAAGTTGGTAGCTCTAGATGTTCGTCCAATGAAATTATAAAAGAAATTGACCCACTTAGACATGAGGAGCTCGAAAGGATAGTCAGGAAACAAGACTTCCATTTTTCTATACAAAATATTTCAAATGACCTTGATTTTGTATGAAATGATACTACCTGATAAAAAATAAGCTTGTTTGATAGTTTTGAATACCATTGTGCAGGTACAAAGAACAATTTAAGTGTAAAACATTCAGAAATTGACCTAAATTACCCCCTTTCGAACCTCAGGTCATTCATAACAACAAGAGCGTCCAGAAAGATTATTCGAATGGGCGTAACTACTCGTAATGTCTTATCAGCTTGTGAGAGGGGGTTATTCATGTGTTTGCAACACTTTATAAATAGAAAGCTATGAAAGATAGAGTGTTATTTTCATCATCGGTTAACACACTCCCTCGGTATTCACGGCGAAAACACACGTTTCCCGGCACGCGCGCTGTACACCAACAGTACACACTGAGTGACCCCGGTGGCCTGCCCGGCACGTCCGACATAATCGGTTGCTGATAATATACGCATCTGGGCACAGACGCAGGATAAGAGTTAATACCGCCCTTTACAGGCCCAAGGCATACCGCTGATCAACCTGAGTTCAGCACATCAGGCACTGGTGGGACCGCGCGTCATAGATACGGAGAGGCTGCACGACAGGCTAGGCCAAACGATGGGCAGGCAGTATCGTAGTGTCAGAGCAAGCGCCCGATAGGCCCAGATCTAGGCCTTGCGATTCATTACCAAATCGAGAAATGAGCAAATAGGTTGCGGACATCGGATACTGGGGGTTATAGATTCAACATGTGCTCACCATGAGCAATGCTTCTTGAAGATAGACGCACAAGGTACTGGCCGAACTGCACTGTGACACAGACCTCTACTGGAACACTCCGTCCCTTCTAAAACATACAAAAAGCATTGAGCCTGTAACGGTAAGAACGTACCTTGATGAAATTTTAAAAGGTGAGAAATACAATGCCATTACATATACTTCTATGAAGAAACATTTTGCATCACCTCAAAATTCTCCTCAGATAGCATGACATTTTGCAGGAATGAGGGGAAACTTCTCATGCCTGCTTCATATTGCAGTAAAACCTTCAAATCTTGAACAATCTCTCAAATAGAGCTCAAACTAAAATACCTTTGTGTTCTCGCGCAGTCACTCGCACTTGCTCTCTAAAGTCTGCAAAGGCCGACAGGTAGGGCATAACAGCCTCTTCCAACTGTTTGAAAAAGATAAGAATGATAGCTTAACATTCGCAGTGCTTAAAATAGATTCAAGGTCTTATAGCATGAAAAGGAAACCTGGTCTGCCCATCCACCACGTTTTAGTAATCAAGAAATAAAAAATTAATAATACAGCCATGGATAGTCATGTTCCCTGGGGTGTCAACGACAGGGGTTGCATGTTCAAGGATGGATACAACGTAAACAAATGCGTGTAGTTATTGGCTGTAAGCTGTGAGCTTGAATTTGAAGAAAAAAAAAAAAAGAAACGGACGAAACAGCAGTCTAACGCATCACAAGCTTTGATCCTGACTGTGTATGACTACACACCATGGCGCATATTGCAGCTGATACTTTCAAGTTTCAAACAATGATCCTTTTCTGCTTTTTTAATTCTCCCACTGGCCTGGGTCGTCACCCACGAAACAGCAGGAAGAATTTGACACCTTTTCAGACTAATGTTTGCCTTACTCCTGGCTTTGGCAATTATTGTTTTTCTAAGGGCAAATTGATACTGCAGCGACTACAAGGGCTCTGTGCACAGAAGGTGTTGAAGTTTTGACAGCAGCACGTGACATAGTGACAGGGTCAGACTGTTATTCTTCCTTATTCTGAAAGGGTGGGGTTGGGTACGGGTAGCCTAACGGCAATCACTTTGGAAAAAACAGAATCAAAGTGTTACACTGCATTTCTGTAAAACTGTTGGTTTTTTTTAAAATCGTGATGATTCCGCCAAACTGATAATGGTGGGCAGCCCCTAGGAAAAGTTTATAGAAATCACACTCAGACACAGTGGTAAATGAACAATGCAACAAATTTTTTTAAGCAATCTCGTATTGTGTCCATCCTTTACCACCCGCTAGTACTCATAACAAGACCACAGTGTAAAATCAACGACTGAAAATAAACACCATAACAAGGGCCATCTGTATAAGACAAGCACCTGTACAAATGACCCTTTCCCGTTTTCCCCTTTGGGTTTCTTGTTCTTTATAATGACACTGAAAGACACTCACCTGTCTAGGACAGCCACTTTTCTCCTTGACAATGGGTGGCCATCTTAGACAAGTGTGTGTGTGTGTGTGTGGGTGTGTGTGTGTGTGTGCGCGCGCTACTGATACAGCTGTACTTGAAGCCCTCTTGATTAATTTTTCAGTTAATCAAGAATACAGACACAGCTGTTATGAAATGGATATTATGCGTTAAAAAACACTCAATGTCTCCGCCTAAGCCGAAACAATAGGACAACATAAATCTTTCTTACATTTGCATTCTGAGATCCTCCCTGTGGGAAACCAATAGCCTGTTCCTTAGGAATAGCACCAAAGATCTGTGACAAAAACAAGATAATGCTTTGAAATTTTTTTTTAATGAGATGACGTAGAGAAATATGACATATTGTTTGTTTAGTATAGGGTTTTACGGCGCTCGCAACTGCATAAGGTCATATGAGCGCGCAGGACACACCTAATACTTTTTCGTTGGTAGGAAATTTTGAATTTTGCCCGGGTGGCGGCCGAAGCCTACTCTTATCGATATTAGACCACCAAGGGATCTTTAACGTGCGCAACTTGCACACGGGCCCTCCGAGATTTTTCGCCCTTGTCCGAGAAGGCTAGGTGTAGATCTTTCCTACCAGAAGATCAGGGGTGTGGCAGAAAGACAGCAGTTAGGAGGAGCCAAGGAGTAGCAGTAGAAAGGCTGCAGAAAGAGTCAGGAGCCCAGAGGAGGGGGCAAAGGAGGTGAGGGGGTGGGGGCAGAAAGTGGAAATGAAAGCAGACAACAGAACATTGTTAGAGATCAGGAAAGGATGTGAAAGGAGACAATTTTAGAGAAGAAAATTTTTTTTGGTCGCTACCCGGAATCAAACCCCGGACCTTTGAATGAGAGGCCAACACCTTAACCTCTAGGCCACGAGAGCCCCCTAAATATGACATATTCTTACAATCAACCAAAAGTGAAATGTAAACATTTCCAAGATTACGTCTCAAAAAAGAACTTTTCTTCCCATCTCAAATAGAAACGGGAAAGAAGCAAATTAAAACCTCAAAAGAGTTCTGAAAGAGACAGACGTACGTGGCCACAGTACTTGAACGAAAAGCTTCTTACACGAAAATCACATGACAACAGTAAATTGAATTGTCACATTACCAATAAAGAATAAAATGTAAGACTAATTGAAAGTAGAAAGAAAAGAGCATGCACAAACAAAGGCACAACAAAAGAAAAAGAAGAAAAAAGCAGTATACCTTATGATCAAAACTGTTTTTCTACTGCAGTAAATTAAATATTTCTGACTCTGACAAAACATATTCCACAGAAATCAGAATTTATCAACCGTGATACAGTGAAACTACAAAGGGAAACAAACAGTAGCAAATAGAAGCTCAGAAGAAGAGGACATAATTTCACAATTCAATTTGAGTATCATACATTTTGAAAACAGTGTGGTATGAATTTCGTACATTTTTCAACACAGAACAATCCATTAAGCGTGGGTACTTCCCCAACTTACAATTTTTCTCTAATACGGATAGAATGTAAAGTTGAACACAGTATTGCTGAGACGAAATTAAATCATGTGAGGATAATTATAAAAACATGAAAATTGTAATACGAATATGAATATGAAGACAAGAAACACCTAATCTGCCCTAAGCTGACAAAATGTTTTGTTTTATTTACAACAGTTTCAAGAAAAAGAGGGGGTTTTTTGTCAGGGTAACCATTTTAAAATAGCGTTCTTCTGAATTTTCAATTCTAATTTATTTTTAAAAATAATCACAGTTTCACTTTGAATTTTTCACACAAGTAGGGAAACCGATCAGGCTTTCGATTAAGCAAATTAATAAATTTGGCGCCAAAGTGAAAAAAAGGCATTTTGTCAGCTTACAACAGTGACGAGAAAAAAGTCAAAAAGACATTAAAAAGTGCAATGTGAAGACAAGCAAAAAGGCATGAAAAATCCGATGAAAGCACAAAAGTAAGGTCATGAGCATTCCCAAATGGGACCCAACAAAATTAACAGAAAGTCTTAATTTGAACAAAAATGAGGATAGGAATATGTAATAAAAGAAGATGCATAGATGATTAAAGACTACCACATTCATAAGGCTAAGAACAGTGCACATGGGTAGGGGAAAAAAAGTCGAGATCGGTTGCATAAAAATAGTCACTCAAAGGAAGCAGAAGAGGAGGTGGAGGAGAAGGTGGATAAAGAAAAATAGCAGCAGCAGCAGGTGCCACCGCACCAGCAACAGCAGAAAGCCCACCTTAAGCAAATCAGTGATGTAGGTGGCCACTTTCATGAGAAGAGCTCGATTGGGTTGTCGCTGAGAGGACCGCATAGCTGAAATGTACAAGTTTCCTGCGCTGACAAGCTCACGAATGTGGTCCATAGCCCCTCTTGTGTCAATGTTATCTGACGAACAAGAAAAACATCAGAAAAACACATTTACTGTCTCTCAAAACTGTTGGTGTCTTGTGAATATTTATCCGCTGGTTGGAAAGAACCAAATTTTTTTGCCCCCCCCCCCCCGTTCCCTGTAGGGAACATTTAATATGAAGGTTAAGAAAAATTTATGCCACAAAATTTAATGTTCAGCGAAATTTTTTGTTGTTGGTAGGTTCCAAAAACAAAAGACTAATAAAATTCCGCTGCAACAAAAATGTACATCTCTGTACACTTTTTTACTAGAAAATCTAACAGACTCTATAAACTGGAGACACACTGAACCCCCACAATAGAGTGGAGAATATAAGAGGAAACTGAAAGACACCCAAGGCACAACAGTGCTAAACAACTATCACCTGAGGTCTTCCTTATAGCTGGGCTGCAATGATAAGCTTCTTCAACAAATATTATTGTCTTTTTACTTTAACTAACTAGGCAGTTCCCATAGGCTTTTTAAAAAAGACCATGATAATGACTCACCACAAAGGGATTCGTAGACACCTTCTTGTTTCTCAAGCAGCCTGCAACATTTTTTTACAAATTAAAAATAACTAAAAACAAAGTCAAATTGCTCTCTTAAGATTGAATAGATCAAAGCATGCTAACCTCAGCAATATTGCCCACAAGTGGGTGATCTGTTAATTTCGTAAGGCAGCAGGAATCACCTCGGTAGTGACAGGTTTTATTTTATGCTCTGCTTGGAAATATGTGTAGGTGGGTGTTACAAAAATTCTAGCCACTCAAATGTGACAAAAAAGGGCACTGGCAATAAAAAGTTTGACAAGCACTGGAATAGACCATGAACAAGACAAAGTAGCAGTCTCATCTGCTTTATTTTGTTTTACCTGGTTTCTTCAGTCAAATCACACCATAAAGGAAAACAGATGCTAAGAATTCTAGCTTATGGAGAATGAAAAACTTAATGTGTGAATTTTACTAAGATCAACCAAATGTGTCACGACACAGTGGAATCAGGCGCTCGTCAATTTTTGGGCATATGGAGTTATTGAAATCATCTTCAAACTTGCTCATTTTTCTGCTTTAAATGAACAAACTATCCATCTATCTTGAAAAGAAGTCGAGATACTTGCAATAGAAGGAAGTGGGGGTCACCTGGTGTCAGCGGTAAAATTAGCAGCGAAAATGGCCGTAAAAGTTTGGTAACTTTCAAAGCTTGAGAGTTCTTGGAAACTGCATATTTATAATTTTTGTACTTTTGATCAATGTTTTTCAGTAAAGTCTACACAAAAATGTATTCTTAAATAGACATAAAAGGTGTTGAGGCAAAAATGAAAATATTTTTAAAATTACCCAGCGGCCAGAAAAGTGCCGGTTTCTTTGATTTCATTATTTTGACGAGCGCCTGATTTTACTACAATACCTCACAAATGATATGGTAGTTTAGATGCCCCCCATATTGAGAATTTAGTCTAGAAATAGCGACCGGGTCTTTACACTTTATTATAACAAGATACAAACTGTCCTCGCTTTCCCAAATACCAAAGACTGGATTCTTCTAAAGGTAACATCTCTTTATTGAAGGATGCTGCTCTCATTACCTTGCAGGGAAGTAGTAAAAATGACACAATGACAGAATCTTTAAATATGCTCTTAACTGGCGGGCACAAGGCAGCAAAGGCTGTTCTTCATTAACCAAGAAAGACATGCAAAGAGGCAATACCATTACCAAAACTTGAACTCACTTATTGTTCAACTTTACTTCATCACTCGTCCACTTTGTCCACGCCAGGCAGCCATCACTCGCTATACCCCTCAGGCTGTCTTTCACCGTTAAGAAAAACTCCTATGGTGGCAAATAAAACGTAATCATTTCAAGAGAAGTTCATTAAAAGAAAAACAATGGTCCCTCAGTATCAGTAAGGGATTGTCTTCACAGACTCCCATCAACAGAAAATAATCAGGTATTAAATCTGCTGGTGTTCAGAATCTTAAACACAAACATTCATTTACCCTCTCATCATGTCTGTTTAATGCTCTACTTAATTGGTTTTTATTGTAATGGAAATGCTTTAACATCCCCCATAAATACAATTCAGATCATTTAGGAGGTCCAACTGGGGCTGAAAGGGCAACTGCGACTGACAAGGGTATATCGTCTCAGCAGGAAGACCGAGACACTTGATACAAATTCTCCTCACATATGAGTTGAACTCAGGTCTTATGTACACGATGGCAAAGTGACTAACCACTACACCACAGACACTGGTCTACCTTTTCTGCATTATAACAATGGCACATGTGGCATAGGTCAATAAAAGCCAGAAAATGCCATATTCAGAGAAAGATCAATGAGCTATGCCCCATTGCATTATCTTTCGTCTCTTCAGGAGTTAATTAGCCATTGCCGCAAAATGTTACGTCTTATATAATACAAAGGTTGAAAGTGCAAGGAATAAATTATATCTTTCACTCTTAAAAACCTATTCTAAATTCTCAAACCCAAATTCAACAAACAAGAATTTGCGTTTAACAGCAAGAAGAAAGGAAAGAAAAGAAAAAGCATACATAAAATTAAGAAAAGCTTACAGGAAGTAAGCCATAACTGTGGTGAAATGAGTCACAGATCATCCTTATTTTCTCAAAGCCTTCGAATTCACCTTTTTGGGTGTTTTGGACCTGTCGCTTGTGAAAATTAGGATTGAACGTAGTACAGTAGGAAATTCATTTTGCAGTCAGTGGAATTATGGATGAAGAATAAGTGGATACAGAACATCCACTCTTTGACCTATTCGGGGTGCTCTCCAACCACTAAAGTTTACAAACCAAGAAGACTGAGCTTAGAGCCAAAACATTGTTTAAAATTTTAAATGTTATGAAAGAAGTCATACAGTTATAGTAGCATTGTTTGCAAAAGGAAGAAATGAAACCAGCCTATCATGGGCCAGCTGTTAAGTTGTAATAAGCCTAGAAAGCAAAATTTTACAGGAGGTAGAAAAAAAAACTGTTTCAATCTTTTAACAATTGTATCTATATTATGTTTTTTTTTGCTTTTTTCAGTATTTAGAATATGAATTTTGACAAAACGTTTCCTCAGCACATGCAAACAATATCTCAGATTAAGAAACTGCAATTTTAAAAATGTACATGTTAGCAAAAAAGTGAGCACAAGACAGAAGATACCTAACACACCTGCATAATTATGTCTGATTGCTTAAGCATGCAAAAGATTGACCCAAAAAAATTCAAAACAAGCAACTGTGGCAGAGAGCAGAAAGAAAAACATTTGAAGGCAAAGAGAGGATAGGTTGGTCACACTCTGTGGGAGCCAGCAACCAGCACTACACACCTTGGGGAGAAGAGCTTCCTACCTAAAGTTGAAGGTGAGATGTAGAGGAGAAGAATTTCCTCACAAAAGTTGAAGGTGAGATGTAGAGGGGAAGACTTTCCTCACAAAAGTTGGAGGTGAGATGTAGAGGGGAAGACTTTTATAACAAAGCTGGGGGTGAGATGTAGAGGAGAAGATTTTCCTGGCAAAAGTGATGAAGGTGAGATGTAGAGGAGAAGATTTTCCTAGCAAAAGTGATGAAGGTGAGATGTAGAGGAGGAGCTGAAAACGGGGGACTAGCTGGAGGGAGGCTGGGAAGACAGTTTTCAAACTCACATTGAGAGTGCGCTCAAACTCCAGAGCGACGTCCATCGTGTTCTCACTGTAGTCCATGGTGTCCTTCCAGGAATGCAACAGGTACAGCAGCCTCACCTGACGTGCTGAGTACTTCTTCAGCACCTCTTTGATGGAGATAAAGTTCTTGAGTGACTTGGACATTTTGCAGCCGTCAATGGTAAGGTGGCCAGAGTGAATAAAGTAGTACACCCAGTGGTCGTGTCCGAAATAGGCCTGCGATATAACAAAGTGCGCTCATTAACACTGATGCTGTTGTCGAGTCTTAGTTTATGGAGTACAGACAGTCTCAACCCATGCATGTCCAAAATTAGGTCTAGTTACATTTCTGTCAGGAAAGATCACTTGGAAACCCTCCTGCATCCTATCTTAATACAGGGCAATTTACAAAGCAAAAATTATGAAACAAAACTTTGGCGCAAAACACTGTTTGCCCTTTTACCGTTGATATATATCTGCCAGCAGCACAGGACTAAATCAAGTCATGAAGTAATACTTATGTATAGATATGTCTCATGCCAAGTTTTAACATGCTTCATACCTCTGACTGGGCCAACTCATTGTCATGGTGAGGAAACTTTAAGTCAAATCCACCAGAATGAATGTCCATGGATTCTCCAAGAATGTCGCTTGCCATGACAGAACACTCAATGTGCCAGCCGGGACGGCCCTGAAAGGCGGAAATAAGAAAGGTTGTTTCATTGAACTGCTGATCTGTCTTTTTACATCTTATCAAACAGTGACAGAAGAAAGTTCAATTGGGACCCAATTCATAGCTAGTTTGGATATAACCTAATGAGTCCATAGAGCCTGATTCTTTCACTAAGTGAACAATTATCAATAAAACATTTAGAAAAAGTCTTCTGTGCCAGAAGATGAACAGCCGAGTAATCTCACTGTACGAAGAGTTCACTCACCAATATTGAAAAGGGAAACATTTACCACTGAAATGGCTTCTTTGCAAGTATATAAGTGCAAAGAAAAACACACCCAGACTGAAGGGTTATATTCAGCAAATGTTTTCCAAAGTCTGAGTTTGAGACTCGGGGAAAAAAAAAAGGCAAGCATTTATTGGCAAATAGTGATAAGTTAACATTTTCCTTTCAAATGTTTTGTTCACAAAACACCATCTAAAATGCTGGACGAGGTCTTCAAGTGGGTAACTTGACCAGCCCCTATACAGACTGTCTGATGGTGATAACCAAGAACAGGTCTGTCAAACCCAATAGCACAGGGGCACACATTCAAATTTCATTCAAACTTGTGGGCAGAACTGAATAAACACCCACTGAGCAGTGGAACACCAAACCTTTCTTTAAATAATATGAATTACAACAGACCAAAGTTAAAATAACAATCAAGACATACCAATTATTTTCCGCTCATATGCCATTACCATTACCTTGTCAGAGCTGGATGTATGGTATCTTTTCTTGACAAAAAAATAGGTTTATATTTGGAGTAAGGTTCTGTATATAGAGTAAAATTCTCTTGCAGATCAGACATAATTGTTCCCTGGCCTCAATGTGGCCCGCAGGCCTTGAGTTTGACACCTGTGCTCTAGAAAGAGAAAGTCATCTTGTCTCATATTGGTGAATATACAATTTTTTAAAAATGTTCTGGATTGACAGCAACAACAACAAAAGAAAATGTTCACTAATCAATATCGACAAACAAACGCAGGCAATCCTGCATTTACCTTCCCCCAAGGAGAGTCCCAAGAGGGCTCCCCAGGCTTGGAGCCTTTCCACACGGCAAAGTCGGTCGCGCTTTTCTTCTCACTCTGCTTCTCCTCTGACACACTCAGCTCACCTGAGACCAAAAATAGCTAAAAAGGGTCACGAAAATACAACTAAAACTGAATTACAATAGAGACCACAAAGAATAAGCTCCCTTGCCTTACACATTTACAACATTATGAACATATATAAGCCAAGGGATAAAAAAAAAAACTTCTTCACATTAGCAAAATATTAACATATTTTGGCAGTCTAGCGGTTAGGATATCAGGGTCGCAACTAAAAGGGCTAGGACTCAAATCCCACTAGGGGCGTAACATAATATCCTTGGGAAAGGCACTTAACACAAATTTTCCTCCCTTCACCCACTTTGGAAAGGGTACCTCACTATAGACAGCTACAAATCATGTCAATTTGTTTGTGTTTGAGAGCTTAATTGGCCGCTTGCACTCCATGCTTCCCAAAAAGCCGATAATGTTTCAAATATAATAATATGGATTGTAAAGTGCTTAGAGCTTTACGTTGAGCGGGGGATATGCACTATACAAATGCTATTCATTATTATTATTTTTATTAGTTTGTCAAGAGTGTTGATCCAACATTTCCACTTTCTATTAATCTCAACAACAGGAAAGTTTGATGGAAAGAGAGGTAGAGGCAGACAGAGGGAAAAGATACTGGACAAGATGACAACATGGCTGGGAGCAGCAAGAACAACAGACACCATTGCTGCTTCGAAAGACAGATGGAAGTGGAGGTCCATGATCGCCCACGCCAGTCGGCAAGGCACCGGATGATGATGATTAATCTCAACTTCAAGAATGTTTTTCAAGCTAGTCATCAACTTTTTTCTCCCCTACCTTCCCCCTCTGACAAGGCCTTCTTGTCTCCAAACGCTTCTGGAAGCAGCTTAGCGTAGAAATGGTTTGGAGCTGCATCAAAAGCCTTTGTGTCAAAGTAAACCGATCCATTAGACTCATACCTGTGAAGGAGAGGGGACAAGAGCATAGTTTAACAATGATACATAACACATTTCAAGGCAAAAGCTCACATTATACAATTGTCTCCAACAACAAAATGGCAAAACTTGAGGAAGATCTCTTTACTCTGCAAAGCTCCCCCTCCCCCCACGGCAAAAATATAATTTATTAATCTGCCTTCACAATTGTTCATTTGTTTGACTCTACAACCTTATGCTCCACAGTTAGACACGGTATTCAAAATATCGGGAATCTTTGTCTAGGCTACCTCAGGCCGAACATTCAATTTACTTACTGCACTATCCCATATCAGCATAACAAGAAATCCTTTTATCTATACCAATAGAAGTGTTGATGATGAGGGCTAGATAGCGACTGCCTTTGTCTCCATCCCATGGGACAGGAGGTAATCACATGAATTGAGTTTGGGTTGGACTGTTAGAGGTAAGGGCCAGCTACATTCTTTGAAGGAATTGGAGAACTTCTGTTAACCACATTTATTTGGCTTCTAGGACAAAACTACATGCACACATGGTGTTAAGCCGTACGCTCTTTGATGTGAAATTGAGATTGTTTGAGAGGGTGGAATTTTTAACTCCCCCAGTATGCACCTGATATCATTGGATTACACCTGCCTGGGTGTGTACTCACGCAAAGCCGTTGTCTATTATCTTCTGAATGAAGGTCACCACCTCTGGCACATAGTCACTGACTCGCGTGAGGACATCAGCTGGTAACACCTGGTGTCATGGAGGAAGGAACAAAAAATTAAAAGCTCCTGTAAGGAAATTGAGGTTCCCTTGTTACTGTAAAAGTTCAACTCTACGCTGTCTACAATTATCACTATTTGAGCAACTCCCTCTAAACCGAAAACCCGACTAAACTAAAGAAGATCTGGTGGTCCCTCAGTTTTCAGTTTTAGCAGACTCAACTGCATTTTAAAAACTTTCTGGACTTTAAACAAATCGTTGAGGTGTGAATAACAATACCTTAAAATTCATTCATACAGAAAAGGGGACAAAACTTGTTTTTTCAGTCACATTTCCAGACGAAAAATTCTGGACGTTGTTAATATTTCAAATTTGAAAGCACAAGCACTTACACACAGAAATAAAGAGATGAACCTAGACTGGAATGTTTACATGAGCAAGTGAGTGACTTCATATGTTGAGAGGAGGGTGCAAAACTCAAAAGTAAAGGGGACGGCAACAACAACAAAAAGGCTGAATTTGTGATTCTACTGTGGTTCCAAGGTCTTATCATTGAACTCCTAGCATCAAGTACTGAACTGTTTAATTGTAGCCAAACACGGGTTAAGACTGTCAGAACTATCAGCTGCTTGATTTGCAAAGAACATCTTTTAACTCGCTCTTCCAGTGAAAGCAGTCCCATCATTCTTTTGAGGAACCACAAACTTCCTATAAAAAAAAGGACTGAAATCAGACAACAGCCACCCATCCTCACCTTTGAAGATACTATATCTCGTTAGAGCAGGTAAGCCTTAATGGGACCAAAAAATACACAAACACAATAAAATCAGTGAGAATCCTCTTACATTTAGGGCAGCCATGTCTTTGTGGAATTCTTCCTCCCAAAACCTAGGGAGTTCAGAGAAAATTGCGTTTTCTGTGACCATTGACCCCTTGTTCTTGTCCAGCCATGGTGCAAGTACTTCCTTCACTTCTTGCAGCAAAGCCTGAAATACAAATCTTTTTTTAAAGTTTTAGTTGGAGTTTTACGGCACTTGCAATACAATAAGGTCATATAGGTGCCGAAGATTAGAGGTGTTACAAGAGAGTAACAAACACAAAAAAGAAGGAGGGGAGATAGAGACGATACATTTTTTTATAGTACAGAAGGAGCAAGTCACACCAGAGTACCCGCCAACCACCCACATAGAAACCTTTAAATTTACATGTGGATGTTGAATTGAAAAGTCTTGCGAGATAGCATGGGAAAGGCCATACTTCACTGGGTAGTGCACAGGGTCAAAAGTAAACCCCAAAAAGACGAAGAAGAAGTAAGCCTCGTCCCGCCTTCCAATGAACCATACAGTAAAGAGTTTTAAAAGGAAAAAAAATAGAGGGGCGAGCTTGAAATCTGTGTGAAAGAGAAGAAAGAATGAAGACACCTCAGGTCATATTGGGTTTACGGAACAGCTAATCTCTTTTATTGTGCACTTTATCTATTTGTGAGACAACATGGTGAAATCAATCGCTCATCAGAATATTAAAATTGAAGAAACGGGCATTTTTCTGCCAGTTGGCAATTTTTACTGAATTTTTGTTTCTTAACTCAACCCCTGTAAGGTCCATTTACAAACACATTTTTCTGCATGGATTTTTACTGAAAATGTTGATTAAAGGCACAAAAAATGTAAATTTTCAGTTTCCAAAGACTCAAGTTTAGGAAATCACCAAACTTTGGCCGCCATTTTCTCATTAATTTTACCTCTGAAACCAGGCAACCCCCACCTCATTCAATCGCAAATTTCTCCATGTCTATTCAAGAAAGATGAGTAATTTTTTCATTGGAAGCAAGACAAATAAACAAGCTTTAAGATGATACCAATAACTCCACATGCCCAAAAATTGATGAGCGTCTGATTCCACCATGTCGTGACACATTTATAGAGGCAATGTTTCTTAATGAAATTCATCTTTAATTCTTAAAGTCTATAAAAAAATTGATACAAATATATCTAATGAAAGAATGGAAACTATGGACATGGTACTGACAAGTATCCAAGAAGTAATCCTGACTCCTAACTTATGTACTGGGAATATAATAAACATCTAAATCTACAAGCAGCTGTTTTATTATAATTTCAACTGCCAATCTTTCAGTCAGACACATCGAGAGAGAGACAAGCAACCAGGACATGATGCAAATAAGAGCCAAATAATAAACACAAGACATCTCCAAACACAAACACAACTTATGAATGGACTCACATTCTTCCCAGCATCCCCACTGTCTACAAGAGCAGCAACTTTCGCCTTGGTTTTAGTCAGCATAGCCAGTTTTTCTGGACTGGTCTCATTTGCAATCTTGCCATCAAGCAGCTGCAGAGAAAATATTTAAGTAATCAGTATCATATATCAAGCATTCTATAACACAAATAATTATACAAAAGCCACTCACAACCCTATTAAAATAACCTAGTTTAGCGTGCGCACAGCGAATGCACATATTGCAAATAAACATGCATGTAGCAAACAGATTATCGGGTCCCAAATTTTGTTTTATACATGTACATTTTTTGTTTTTAGAACATGTACATCACGAACAATGCATGATCAAATCAAGAAAAAAGAGTTATGTGTTGGTAGTGTTAGAGTGCTTTGCATTCACATAATTCAACTACGTCGAGACAAGTCATGAAAGAAATTTCTGACATGAAAGAAATTTGGTAGGTAAGAGAACAATGCCCCACTAGACATTTGCAGGTCGCTTGTAAGGCAAAGTACAGTGCTTGAGGGTCGAGAAGATGAAAGGAATAAATGGCAGAAATTACATCAATGGAAATACCACACATAATCATTAGAGCAAAGATGTCCTCCTCACATACACCATTCCAAGATTGGAAGGACTGCTCTTCCTGTTGGTGTGCTGTGGTAATTATTTTTTTTCTTTCCCCCAGGGAACATGGGGACAGAAGAGGCAGAGGAGGGGTGTGCAAAGGAGAATTTTCTGAACTTTTTTGTTTGAGTAAAGAGAAGTACATCAATATAGTAACCGTCGTTTGGTGCATGAGAAGACAGACAGAAACAACAAAACCAAACGAAACCAGGGGTAAAAAAAGAATCTATAATATGATATACACGTACAAAACACGTGTCACAGGAAGCCACACATAGGCCTATATCTTTATCTGAGATTCCAGAAATTTAACCTAGAATTGCACTTCCTGAGATGCCAAAACTTTTCTTTCTAAATAATACTATTCATTCAAAAGCACAGTCCAAGATTAACTCTTTCCAGACATATCGCTGATATATCGGCGCGAGTCCACACCCCTTGCGGACATATCGCCGATATATCGGCTGTGATAGGGTGCCTCAGTTTTGTTTCGTTTTAATATGATCCATTATTTATAAGTACTTTTTATTGTTATTGAAAACTTGGAAAGGATTTAGGAAACAAACATCTAGTTTCACTTTGCCAAAGCGTCAGTCTGAGGAAAAACGAGTGTAAAGTTCTTGCATCAACAAAACAATCTAACCGGACTCAGTATAAATATCATCATAACTCAAACAAAAATTGGAATATTGCATTCAAATAAAAAGCTGCATCTTCAGAAATGTATGGAATCTGCTCTTGGCCTGTACTATACTGATTTGCTTTCACATGTTTAGTGAGTGTAATTTTTCCGTCAAAATTTATTTTTCTCATCGTCATCGCCATTTCTAACCTTTGTAATGCATATTTATGTTCAAAATTAATCCTCGTTTCATGTTAGAAAGTACTTCCTTATTCAATTTCCTTCAATTTGATATGTCATATGTTACGTTTTGAGCACTGGTTATGCTTTTATGAAGTTATCTTGTACATCATCTGTATAGCCGAATCGAGTCACAAGTTAATTACGTCTAGACCCCAAAACAACTACGTCCGGAAAGAGTTCAACATACACACCCATTGTCTATTTCAATTTAGTTATGTTACAAGGTACACCAATACTGTAACAATGCAACCTCAGTATAATATGTAAGGAATAAATTCCCTTCTATCTTTATAGAGTGCGTAACTAGATATAAGAATTCTTATTCAAAATGAAGAAATACTGAAGCATCCCAAAGGCTAGCTCATCTGAAAGTTCATTGCAAAAAGAGACCACAAAAAGCGTATAAGACACAATGAGCATAAACTCAGACCTCTTGGTTGTCCATCGACATTGTATCTGCTCAGCACCTAGTTTTGAGAAATTTGATGTCAACATTTTTAATTTTCACAATATGTCAAGCTTTTTTAAATGTAATTCTTTGAATATCTTGATAACGACTCTGAATATTCTTACAATTTTGATAGAGCAGATAGAACATTTGCTTTCTGACCTCATGGTCTTAGTACTTCAAAATGGCCAAAAATTTCAGTATATATAATTATTATGTGTATATATATAATTATTATGTACGTGTGTGTATGTATACTTTTTAACACATAATTATTATGTACCTGTGTGTATGTATATAGAACTTTGTAATTCTGAGGAAGCGAATTTTTTGTGCCGCCCACACAATTTTCTCATTTGCGCTTTTTTGTCAAAGTGTTGCCTTGGATCCCTTTTCTTTTTTTTTATTGACAATTTCTTAGGGGCTGCCGCCATAGCTCAGGCTTGTGACAGTTTCCAGTGGTTTTTGTTAACATTTGTAATACATGATTTCAAAATTGCACTCTGAATAAAAATACTTAAAAACGATTTTTTGGTATGGAATGTTTGATGCGGTCCAGGCTCACCCAGACTCTAACCAAAGAGGCCCCTGGGTAATTTTTGAGTTAGAGAACCCTAGTGAGAACCAAAGTCAGAACACAGTCATGAACAACCAACAACAAATATCTGAATATATATGCGCATGGGAGCCACAGAATGAATTCTTCACACATCAATCTTATTTTCCCCCATCCCTGTGAAACCCCATCAAACTAACTGCTACTCAGTGAGAGTGTACACTATTCTCCTTTTCCTACCCTATGGCACTTTTTCTTTCCATCTTTGCACACAATGCTGATGGACGGACCATTTCCCTCTTCCCAACACATATTCTCACATTCAACAACTTGTTTTAATTTTAATAGGTTTAGTAAGTTTTATTGCACTTGCAACACAAACAGGTCATACAAGTGCTGAAGATAAGAGGGGTTACAAGAGAGTAACATACAAAGAAAAGGAGAGATTAAGGACGATAGATGTTTGACAGGAAAGAAGCAGGAAACTACACCAAAACACCAGCCAACCACCGACCAATGACTTGTGACCATGTATCGCTAGGATCAATATATATAATCGGCACATTATGAAGATGAAGTTTCTTACCATGAGAGCACGCTGGACAACAAAACCGTAACCCTATCTGTACTTCGTGTTTTACTATCGTATCCGTACGTCGTGTGAACTCTGGGCCACCACTTTCCAAAGAGGAAATTTACTCATTAATCCGATCCGTACGCTTTGCATAGCAGTCTGTCAAAAAGATTTTTTGAAAAATACTGAAAGTTTCAAAGAGACCTTCGCACTAGAAGTATTCTACAATGTGAAGAATACAATCCCTGGCGTACAAAATGACCCCAGGCGTAAAAATAGGGTTAAGCAACAGTTCAAGTGTCTTACCTGTAGCGCCTCTCCTAAATCCTGCTCCACCTGCTGTGGGCTGTGGCCTGCATCAATGTACTGCTGCATCAAGTGATTCTGACGAGCACGGACAATGATCTGAAGAGAAATAAAAGCAACATGTTATCTGACAAACTGAGAGACAAAGAAAACGTGGCTGAAAAGTACACTTTAAATACTATCTTTAAAAGACAGGTGTATATGCAATGGCATAAAATATCACTGAACATCTAAGAAAAAAACTGAACATCCTTTTCCCAGAAACAAAAAGTTTGCACCAAAATTCATTTTGTGGGTAGTTTTGTTTCCTTGTTTTCCACAGCAGGCCAATCTATGATTATCAGCAAAATTAAATTAAATGAATTAGCAGAGCTGAGTATTGAACCTCTTTTTCTTAGAGCCTCTGAGTAGGTCAGGTTGAAGAAGGATCTTACACTGGTGCCATCCTCACTCCACTTCTTAAACCACCTCACTGTGCAGACAGAGATCATGAAACTCATATTGTTATTATATTGTACTAGCCTATTTAGGAACTTATTGAATTTAAATTACCTTCAGTTCAGAACAGGGATAAAACATCAGGATGGAACATTAATGGTTAGGTAAACAAAACTTATGATTGATCCTTGTGGTGTAACGGTAACTGGCAAATCTGTTCAGAGCAGCTTTGTCACAGATGAAACAATAAGCACCAAACACAACAGCGAAAGATTATTTACAAATATGATTACCTTGTCATCAATATCTGTGATGTTCATGCTATAGAAGATGTCATACTTGAAGTAGTCCATCAACACTCTACGCAAAATGTCAAAAGAAATGTAGGACCTGAAAAGAGAAAATTATTTCATTTTGAAAAATAGACTTTTCTTAAAAACATGATGGTCAGCACAAAAAAAACGTTGCTCTCTACTGAGCTACAAAAATGCCTTCAAGAGGGATATGACCCCAACAAAGGTCAATTACAGTACATGGGAACAGAGGACAGAAAATCACAGGAAAGTCAAGCCAGTCCCAAGAAGCAATAGAAAACACTGCAGTGAAGAACTGTTAGCATCACCAGAAGAGACAAAAGATGATGCCACAGAACACGGATCATCTGTTCTTTCCTAGACCAATAGTCTCTGCCGTAGAACCCGGTCGTTAGGAGACAAACAAAAAAAGATGGCTCTTACACTGACCAGCTTGTTAAGCAGATTAAAAGGGGAATCACTCAGCTTCTTCAAGTAAGTTTCAAGGAAACCATCATTGTCTATGCATTGTTGACAGAGTCATTGGTGATCCTAATGCCATGTTTTAAGAACATGTGAGTGTAATAGACAACTCCACTAATTGAAAACCACTTAGAGGTTGGCTGATCCGATTTGGAAGTGGTGCTCATGTGCATTCCTAAACCTCCTGCAAAAAAGTATGCAAAGTATGTATAGACTTTTGCCACCAGTATGTCCACAATCCATTTCCTTTTCTACCTCTCAAAAAGTCACTAAAGGTAGCCATTACAGTGTATTGCAGCTCTCCCTCTGGCTATATCAACCAAAGAGTGATGCACTTGAAAGTGGGCAGTGCCACGTGAAACAAAAAGTAGAGGGGGTGCGAATGCTTCTACTATTCCATTCAGTCTTGCCCATTCCGTCCCTCCCAGAAACGCCTCCTGCTTTATCTTATTGAACTTCACAACATTACAATGTGCACATCCCACCCTTGAAGAAGGTCTCTTAGACTATGGTAAAAGCAAGATGCTTATAATTAGCCAAAGTTTATTTCCCTAAGTTATAGCAGAGATCTAAGACTAATATTAATTTTTAGCTCTTATTTTTATGCGTTTAAAACATAAAGAAAAACATTCTGAAACATGGTAAAAGCAGGCTCTTTGCCATTTAAGTAAAGTGTTTTAAGATTAGACAGAGACCACTATACCACCAGCAACTGCCATTTTCTGACTAACATTGGCCTCATTATCTATATATAGCATCATCATAGGACATACAATATTTGATCAAAACAGAACTTACATATTATCAAATACTGCTTGAGTAACAATTGACAAAGAAGCACTGAAAAAGTCCAGGAGGCCAAAAACACTCTGAAGTACAGCAGATGGGCAACCAGACAACTTCTTGTCTTCAGGTTGAATTGCACCCATCAACAGAGCATTTGAGTACATAAAACCCAAGGAGCTTTGAGATATGCCAAAGACAAAAGTAACAAATTTCTCAAGTCAACAGTTGCATCAACACTCTCATAACCAGGAACTCAATGGAGATGGCTTTTGAAGCATTGAATTTATACAAATAAAACTTTTAACCACCTCTGCAATTAATATAAAGCCTCCATTTGACACATAAGCTCTTATTCTATGACGCAAGTCCAAAGACATGTAATTTTGACTAACAAGACTTTCATATAGCCCATGGTAGAAAGTAAGTAGTAAGTAGAGAGAATATGTTAGAGAGAGAGGAAGGGAGTTAGAGAAGAAGAGGGGATGAGGTGATACCCAACAACCCAAATTGGCAATTTAAAAAAAATCATAAATGGAAGCAACTATACACATGTATTTTGAAACAAAAGTAGACACACACTGAATTAGAGAGAGAAAGGGAGATTGGAAAGAGAGAGAAATAAAATACAGAGGAAACGATAAAAGAGGAGAGAGGGATGAATATTTACAGGATGCATTAAAATCAATTACCACTACAGCATACAGACAACACTTCTTCCTATTTGAGAATTTTTCCCACAGCAGCAGAGCACAGTCCCAAGCAAGTAAACAAGAATCTTACATCATGCCAAACAGAAACTTTGTGGAAATTACAGAATACCAAAGAAAAACAAAAAAGTTGGGGAATCCCGAATGAGAAGTACAAAAGGGTAGATATATAGTTTCACCTGGCATGCCCCATGTGAGATGCATCATAAACAGTTGGACCACAGTTGTACCACGTCACGATATTACCTCTCTGTGGTACAAAAACTTCCTGCACCGAAAGAAGAGAAAAAAAATTGTATGAAATACGAAGCATCAGAACTTTAATATGGCTATCTCAATTATCATTACCATGTGAACTATAGTGTGAGGCTCATCCGCAAGTAAGACTGGCCAAAGTTTGTCATTGGATTTATTATGAAGTAACAGCATTTTCAAGAGGTCATATCTGATGATATCTCATACTACAAAACAAACTGATTTTTTTTTCTTTTATTCTTTGCCAATACATGTTTCTGAAGACAAAACTTTAAGTTATAAGGCCAGTTCGGGTTTTGAAAATTTGCATACACATCTCTTTTCTTATTTGGCAACATGTCGAGAACGTTCTGGTGTCTGATAAACCAACAACTGCTCCCTGTACACTGTACAGTTTTTAATATTCAAGACTCAGGAAAGCAGTCTTTACCACAATAAGTGTATTGGCATTATCATCATGTTTCTCCAAACAGACAGGTTATTTTATTTAGAAGCAGGTGGGATAAGAGTAATGTGAATTTTTTGCATTAAAAGAAACTCAAGTGATTGATTTGCTGTCTTCATAATGAAAATTCCCATGCATCTTTAAAAGGTAAAGTGCTTTTATATTTAGGAGAGTAATGCTATGAAAAAATTCCTAAACATAATAATAGTAGCTGCAACAAACCTACCTTTCGTCTCGTCAAACTATTAAAAAGGCGGAGTACAGGTTTTCCCTCCCCAGATGGCGGTTCCCATTTTGGCTGTGATCTTTTCATTTTCGCTCAAAATATTTCTAAAGTGAAGTCTACTCCTGCAATGACAAATACATGAATTAAAAAACAAGTGACAGCAATCATAGTTGTGGGACAAGGACAGCCCCATGCACCATCAAAAAGCAAAGTTTCTTTTTTTTTTAAAAATAAAAACTATTAGAGGACATCATGTGTATGCCACAAACAAAAGTCTACCCAGAAAATGGCTGCAAGAAGAATCTTTTCCACACGGAACAAATACAAATTCTCCGACTTTAATTTTAACCAAAAAAGTGTTCCATTTCTCTCAATCAAGTTGACCAGACAAGGGCAAACTACAGCCCGCAGGCCAGTCCGGTCAGCAAGAAGCAGCAGCAGTCTGGTCCACGAGGCAGTTAGTGCAACAAATGAATACATCGCCCCTGGTCAGTTCAATTAAAATAAAAACGAAACTGTTTTTCTTGAAAAACACCAATAGTTTACGGCCCAACTGGACACAAAAGATCAAATATTTTCTCATGAAATGACATATATAATATATCTAAGGAGTCCATTTTAGTCTCACTTTAAACTTGGGCTTGGACTTAGGCAGGCCGGATTTAACTTTGGTGGACCCACCGTGTTTACATGTATTAATGCACACTGATAAAAACAGTGGGGGGTTTCAGGGGGACTAGCCCCCGACAACAATAATTATAAAAAATAACACACATAAATGCAAAACAATAATAAATAAGAACAGAGAAAAGAAAAGAGGACTAGGAACATTAATTAATAGTTGATAATAATGGCATTGCACAGCAAGGCTCAAAAGTAGTGCTGTGCGATTTAGAGGAAACAAAAATTCAACAAAGCTTCGAAGTTTGAGTTATTTGAATACCTCTGTCGAATGTTTTTTCATGTATATGATAGGCCCAGACCTAACTTCCGCTATTCAACATTCAATAAATATTCACAGCGGCGTCAAATGTTTTTTTCTTATATATATATACAATAAGCCCAGCTCTAACTTCCGCTATTCGAAGCGCCGCCGAATTGTTTTTTCTTATACAATAAGCCCAGCTCTAACTTCCACAATCTGAAGCGCCGTCTAAATGTTTTTACTTATATACGATAAGCCAATCCCTAACTTCCGCAATTCACATCGCAGTCGAATGGTTTTTTCTTATATAAGCTATGCCCAGATCTAACTTCCGCAATTCGAAGTGCCATCGAATTGTTTTTTTCTTACATAAGCCAGTGCCACAACCTGACTCCCCTAAACATGTCACAGAGGTCAAAAATTAAAAACTACTTAATTTCCATTTTAATGCCATGAATATGTAGGTAATTGGTGTTATTTTCATAATCTTGTGCAAATACAGCAGAAAAAAATATATTTTGTAAGAAATTTAGATGTTAGATGATCACTTTGGGATTCTGACGTGTATAACTATGATGACATGAAATTACTAGTAGTAGTAGTGATAAAATTTGAACAACCGCATCTGTTTAAAGTACTACTTTTTACACCAGTATCAAGCCTTTTAAAAAGAGAAGAAAATTCCCAACCGATTTTGTAGCAATGCCCACCGAGCGCGTTTTGTTCTGCCAATTTCTGGCCCCCGCAGCGGGGGTGTTTCGTGGGACGCACTAACGCAAAGGTTGTTATCTTCAACTCGCTCTCACGCCGCTTCTCGTGAATGGATATAAATGAAACTTGGCAGCCAATCAGAAAAGAGGTCAATCTCGTAGTATGCAGTTTGACAACATTGTACCCATCCTAGAAGCAGTCGAAAACATTTGCGAAAGTGGTTGATGTGGTGCGCTTTGAAGATTTTTTGGAGCTGTGATTTGTCTAACTGACTGATACGTTGTACACCATTTTTCTTTATTCCCTTAAAATTTCAAGCTTCTGTATTTAGCGGTTTTTGCGTAATCTTTAAAAATGTGGGAGTAACTAAGGGAAAAAGCGACATTGCCATTTGTGCGTACTGGGTAAACGAACTGCTGCTGGGAAATTTCCACTGAGTGACGTCATCAGCCATCGGTCGCCTCGGGCGCTACAAATGAGGCCCCGTTCATGTGAACCGGAAAGGGGGGGAAGGATACTTGAAAACTAAACGGGGGCCTTGATAACTTGCGTTTTTGTTGCATTTTAGTCACAATACAATAGATGTAGTCATTTTTATTTGCTTGATTGCATGACAGAAGAATAGAAACTGAAAAGAAAACATCTTGAGAAGTGGTATGGCATTGTGTTTGCGTTATGAAAGCCTATTCCCCCCTCTTGGGAAAGCACACACTTGGACTCGTCCTGTGTGCTCTGTTTGGAAAAGTGAGGCATTAAGATTGTTATTAAAGAGTATGGTACTTATTTAGTCCAGTCTGGGAAGATAGTCCCGTTTATACATTGTTATCGTTCACGCGTGCGTGCGTGAGCGCGCGCGTGCATGTGTGTGTGTGCGCGCGCGTGCATGTGTGTGAGAGAGAGAGAGAGAGAGATAGAGAGAGAGAGAGAGAAGGGGGGATGTAAATATGTTACATTTATTGTATGAGTTGTAGCCTACACATGCGAAATATTCCCATGACTTGTAAACTATATTATCTGAACGCATCTTAATCTAACACACAATAGGACACTGTCCAACAATGGATATACACAGAGACAATCTTATTTTCTATAACAAAGTATGCATGCTTTTACTAGTACAGAACTGGATTTATTAGTAGCTCTCTACTTACATTGTTGTGACAAATTGATCCAGAACATTGCTTGGCAAGGAGGAACCTTTTATTTTGCCAAGTTTAATTCAAATATCATGACTTTGGGAGAAAATATGACTGATAATCTTTGTAAATCTGTAAAGAATGCCACTTTTTTACCTGTTAATGTCTTTACAACTCAAAAAGTATGACAGATATTAAAAATCTGACAGCATGACTAGATTCTGCATTAAAAAATGTACTAGACTGCCAAGTTTTATTTACATATTCCAAGAAATAGGCGAGGTATGACAAATATTGTCTCAAAACGCACCGAAAACCCACATTTTTACCTATAAACGTCTTCATAACTCAAAAAACAGGATAGCTATGAAAAATCTGAAAGCAGGACTAGATTCTGCACTAGAAAATGAGCGAGTTATGACGAATATTGTCTCAAAACTCACCAAAGAACGTCCCATACTTTGGGCTTTTTTCATTATATAAAAGTGTACCAGAAATTAATTGATTTAAAAATCTGTAACTTTCTTGTTTATTGATGGATTTCAAAAATTCAAAAAGTTCCATGCTCTGTGAAGATAAAGCTACAAAATGCACCTATTTGCAAACACTTTCTGGCAAAAAAAGGATTTTCGTGGTCATTGCTAGATTTTGTGATATAAGATGTAACACGTCATCATAGTTATGCACGTCAGATAGCCCGACCAGAACAGTTCTCTTTTCCACCAACTTTTCTTTTGAAGCACCACTGTTGTGATATCAATTTGTATAATGTCTGTCTATATTAAGTTGAAAATCGATATATTAAAATTTTCAGGACAGAATTATATTAAATAAGAGTAAAAATTTATTCTGTGCATAAATATGATGACATTTTTTGTCATCATAGTTATGAGTGTAAGAAGAGAACATTTGAACAATCTTACGAAGTTATTCTTTTTAATTCTAATTAAACTGCTCTAGGCATTTATGAGACAAAAGGAATGACTGAATTTATGATGTCTGGCATTTCTGCAGCACAAATCGTTTTGTAACGCTCTTCACTTAAACAAGTATTGTCCCTGTACATCTTGGAATTCCCACGCCAGTGGTGTAAAAGTTTGGTACTTTGCTGTTACACACAAAAAATGTGATTTTGACAAAATGAATCCCTTTACTTATCAATTATTGCATGAATATACTTTAAAACTTCACATCAGGCTGCATTTTGCATTCCGGTCACTTCCTACACCCAGGCAACCACCAGAATCCGACAAAGAGATATTTTCATTTTTTATCCTTTTCATTTGCTCAAATGCCAAGGCAATGCATGAATGAGGTGATTGGTGATAGGAACTTTGTTTACTAGTCCAGGCCAAAAATACCAGTCACGTACTACAAAGTACACTTTTAGTTTTAATTGGTCATCTTATGTGCATAACATGATGACGGCAAATTTGGGATTCGTTAATGGACCTTTGTGGTAATGACCCCATCGTACAAATGTTAATTCCTTTGTCTTCAAGAGGAAATCCCCAACAAGTACGATTTCAGTTGTAGAAATCAAGTTATATTGCTCAAAGTTTGTCTAGTTGTCAAAATATACAATTCTGAATGATGACAACAGTATGCACGTCAGACACTTTTAAAGATTGCAATTGATGAAAATTGTGAAGCCTGAAGAAGTATTTATAATATGTATGCCTGAAATACGATGGCTTTAGACTTACCCTCAGTACTAGTAAAGTTTTGAAGACTCCATACAAAAATGTGTGTTTGGAAGTAATTGCAATGCTGTTTTCATATGACATATTGAAATAGGCAAAAATAGCAGCAAAATCGCTTTATTTTATTATTTCTAAGCATAAATCATACATAAAACAAAAATCTTTTGACAACACCACAAACGGATATAAATGTGTTTTCTATAAGGAGTACAAAACAGTACTGCATCACATAATGTAAAATGCTGTGGCTCTGGAACAGGCTCATATATAATATATATATATATATATATATATATATATATATATATATATATATATATATATATATATATATATATATATATATATATATATATATATATATATATATATATATGGGTAATTCTCCTGAAAGCTTGAACTTTCCGTAACACGGGTATCAAATTTTAGAATTCAACCAAATAACTTGAAAATGTACTCAGTACACCTTTGACATGTCTAGTTTTGATCCCTACATGGCTGAAGCTAAAGCTTGTTTGGTTTCTTTGAAAACGGAAGTGAAGTTTAGGCTAGTGCGCTATGGTCTTAAACGTTACAGGACACAACAATACCGGTCAAAACATGAAATATAACAGAGGGAAAGAAAAATTGATTGGGGTAGCATTATGTCCTTTAAATTCATTGTTTGTTCACACAAATTTAAAAACTTTTCTTAAATTAAAAAAATGCTTATCAAACAATCATAATGTCTTTAACGTTACCGGCAAAAATTATTTTTCAAATAGAAAATTAGACTTTTTAAAAAATAAAATACTAATACAAAAGTAGAACTTTTAAAAAGTATTGCTATAAAACGGGTAATTCAATGCTGTAGTTTCAGCAAATATGAACAAAATCGATAAGTGTTTTCGGCAGCAACAATAGCTATATATAGTAGTCTTAAACGTTACAGGACAAAAGATAAAAAAAGAGTGTGCAGAAAAAGGACGATTTGTTTCATAAAAATAATATGCACACCTACTAAGAACTAAAACATGTATTATAATACTTCTTTGATGTTATCTGTCATGTTTTTAGAAGAAAAAGGCATCAACTTATTGACTCATTGAGCATATTATTGAAACTTAACTTTTTCGGGACAAAAATCTTGTGGCAGTTACAAAGTGAAACATGAAATCTAAACTGAACTGAAATTAATTTTCCCAATAGTGAAAGCAGCAGCAGTTAGTAGTAGCAGCAGCAGCAGTTAGTAGTAGTAGTAGTAGTAGTAGTAGTAGTAGTAGTAGTAGTAGTAGCAGTAGCAGCAGCAGCAGCAGCAGCAGCAGAGCAGAATATCATAAAAGGTATCACATCTCCTTCATTATCGCTACTAACATTGTCAAGGGGGCTCTCGTGGCCTAGAGGTTAAGGTGTTGGCCTCTCATTCAAAGGTCCCGGGTTCGAATCCGCGTAGCAACCGAAAAATTTTCTTCTCTAAAATTGTCTCCTTTCACCTACTTTCCTGCTCTCTAGCAATGATCTGTTGTCTGCTTTCGTTTCCACTTTGTGCCCCCACCCCCTCACCTCCTTTGCCCCCTCCTCTGGGCTCCGGACTCTTGCTGCAGCCTTTCTGCTGCTACTCCTTGGCTCCTCTTAACTGCTGTCTTTCTGCCACACCCCTGATCTTCTGGTAGGAAAGATCTACACCTAGCCTTCTCGGACAAGGGCGAAAATTTTCGGAGGGCCCTTGTGCAAGTTGCGCACGTTAAAGATCCCTTGGTGGTCTAAAATCGATAAGAGTAGGCTTCGGCCGCCACCCGGGCAAAATTAAAAAATTCCTACCAACTGAAAATATTAGGTGTGTCCCTCGCGCTCATATGACCTTATGCAGTTGCGAGCACCGTAAAAACACTTACCAAAATAAACATAACATTGTCAAAATACATCGTTAATCATGGCAGCAAACAGTGTTCTATCTTTCTGTGATTTATTGTGACATTATGATGTTCACTTCCCAAAATGTTTCCACAGCATGGTGACCATATTGAAGATCATTTGGGAACACAACGATTTTTTGTTAGTTATGTAGCATCCCATTCGGCACACTGTTGATGAATAGTTCCCTGTCTGTAGCTCAAACAGGAAAACTGAAGCAAATTCATCACAGTATGGACCTCTACTTCACTAACAGCTCTTTATGATTTCAAGAACACGTAACATTGCTATTGAGCATGAAACAAGTGTATGGAATGTTTACTAGCTGCTTTTCAAAGTCCAACTGCACTCAGGAAGGACGAGGAATTTCAATGTGCCTTTTTGCCGCTGTGTTGAGAAAGAGTTTTCTGACGTACATCTTCCAAAGTTTGCTTTCGAGCTGCTTTGACTTTTGGAAAGACTTTCATAACTCTGTGGACAGCTTGTTTGCAGGATGTGGGTGTCTGTATGACACTTCCCGAATATATTGAACCTCTTTTTTCTTCTTCTCTGTGTCTTCACCTTTTTCCTTTTTTTGAATGGAACCTTTCTCTAGCCTTAGCATTGTCTGCCCTTTCCTTCTGCTCTGACCAGGAGGCTGTTACCTCTCTTGGGTAGCTTTTCCATTTCTTTCTTTAGTATCACTAGCCCAGAAAACTTACGTGTTGCAACTTTGCTAGTGGTAGAGGTAGCTAATGTGAGGTTTTCCTTCTTGTTTTTCCTGCATTTCTTAACTTGTTCGTCGGTCTTTGCCTTGTGATTCATCACTTTCTTTCCCTAGACGAACGTCTTCAGCTCTTTACAATTGCACATCGATGTCACTCTTTTTTTTCTTTAATTGGTCCTGGGATTCCTAAGTTGGCTCCATCTTAAACTTTATTGTAATAAACGTTGTGTATTTGTTTTTGGAATTTCGATACTTGAAAGCAATGCATTCAGAGATCTCTAGCGCAGAGCACGCACCTATGGTACTGTAAAGTTGGAAAGAGAATGTGGGAGCAGGAGGGGTAAATAAAAAATTGTACCAATCAGTTTAGTAACTGAATTAAAAGAGATAAAACGCATGCTATACTTGGTCGAAAATAAGATTATGCTGCATTACTTTTTGTATTATTTTATTAAAATAATTCACAACAGAAAAAGTAGTCACAAATTCTGTTATAGAATGTTATATGAATAAAGTGAATATATAAACCGATGTTTTTCGTTACTTATGTGGTCTTGCTAGTCTCATCATAATCTAAGACGATAAAATCAGCTACTATGCCCTAAATATTATTGGGGCAACCCTTGTTACCAAAACTTTGGTTAAAATGATTTAGTCCGTGTAACTATTAAGACCAATGTAAAAACGTATTTTCCTCTTCTTGTTAAAGCCAATATTAACTTTTGGTGAAAACTAAGGGTAAAGCTACACTGTGGACAAAGCGAAGCAGCACGGAAGAGGCAATTAAAATAAACCAAAGGGAAAGACGGACGTCACCAGCCGTATCAAGAACAGCCCGAAGCAAGGAGATGCCAGGAGAAATTCTGGCCAATGTACAATCACTTATATCACTTGAAATGTACATGTGTGCACACGAGCATATTATTGACAGCACGCTTGAAACTAGTAGATCTACAAAATTTCAGTGATGATAACAAGAAGGAAAACGAGGAGAGTTCGTGAAAACTAATTGTCAAAACAAAAATGAAAAATAAAATCAAAGCACACAATGCATTTACCTTTATTCAAAGCAAGACATTATAGAATTGGCCTCTTTTCAATTAATTTGTAGACCAAGATCTACCCATCCATCAGTTCTCCATAACATTCCCTTCTTAACACTCTTTCAATCTGTCTCTCATTCTTTCTTTATCAATCGTCGAGATAGGATGTCTTAAGTTAGTAGTCCTTCAGGTGAGTTTAACCATGAATATTTCATGCAGATAGAAAAAGGAAATCACAACTCATTCAAACTGAATCTGCACATCTGCTTTGGTCGTCTGGTAAATTTCTCTACAAGTGGTGAAATTCACCAAACTAATGATGCTAAGTAATCGGGTTCGCCTACTCCTTTCTTTCTTTCCTCTTTAGAGTTACCACGTCGATCAGGATAAACGGCGCCAATGTTTTTCTGTTCATTTTCAACTGTAACTAAAATTGACATGGAAAATCCCATACAACGTTACATCACTTACATCGCCCTCTTCGCTTTGTTCCCTGTGTTTACGCCTCGTTTTGCACCACCAAGCCACAGTGTGACATTACCCAGAATAGGAATATCAATATACTTTGCATTCCATTGACAGAGTGTGTCTACAAAGTTAAATTACTGATGTTCGATCTTAAATATTTGAAACACCGAGCCAAGCAGCCTTATCCTTGTATTGTATTTGCATTGTTTCAGACAACGATAACAAGTTGTCACCTTTAATTGCCCCAACTGCCAACCCCAAAGCTAGAAATAGGTGGCATCAACGCATGAAATCCTTGAAAAGAAATTCTTAAAGAAGCTACTCATTCTATAAAGATTATAACACAAAGACCAAGTCTAAATCGTCAAAATGAAGAAATCAAACTCTTTGTCCAATTTCCGTTTCGATACAACAAAACACTATGAAAACCAACAATCCTTGTTTTGGCAGGATCCAAACTCATCCATTTCCTTGAGAGAATTTAAGATTTCATCAATGAACGACATATTTTGCAGCCAATCCATATAAAAAAGAAAGCAAATTTTAAAGCAATTCAAGTCTTAATCATTACTTACATCTTAATCGTTACACCGCTAAAATTGCGTGACGAAGTTATTCATATTCACTTTCTATAGACACCGTTGTCTTGCTGGGGAATAGATGAAAGCCAAGTTGATTGGAAACCAGTGCACTTGACATAAAAACACCGCACCAAAATTTCGAGCTACTTCTGGTAGAAGTAAACATGCAGAGATCTTAATCGTTACAACGTGACAAAAATTCAATGACGTGACTATTTACCGCCAAAATTTCGTAATCAGAGTAGTAATTTTGTTCTTGGTTGATGAAATGATTAAAATGATCGCATTTCTAGTTCTACAATGAATAGTTACACTTTTTAAACGATCGATTGACCTGAAGATAGGGTTACTATTTTTTATCATTTTTCGGACGAGACATGAGGCGTCTAAGACCTAATTTTATGCCCTTTGTATGAACAAATGGGCCATAAAGCATTTGTCGGTTGCCCTGAAAGTTCTACTTAAGATCAGTATTTACCCATAATTACGAAAATGAGATGCAGGCAGTTCTTAGAGCAATCTTCGGATGAAAACGGTCTCTGGTGAATGTTACTTTTTCATACCTAAAAAATGCTGATTTTTTAACAAAAAAGCCCAACACTGTTTCAGCATATCATTTCATTGTATATTTTCTGCCTAGTCCAGGTTCGGCAACCTTTTCCCCACCAGCTTAGCTCATCTTAACTATGATTTGAAATAAAGAAAGATATGTATGGTGTCTGTAGTAAAGGGTATGCGCAAGTTCAAGTTTTCATGTCAATTCCCCATAATATATATATATATATATATATGAAACCTAACTTCCGCTATTCAAAGCATCGTCAAATTGTTTTTCTTCTATATGATAATATAAGTCCATTACTTTCGCAGCGCCAGTCACTGAGATCGTGTGTGTTGTTGTCGCAGACAGTGCAATGTAATGACATGGACGTCACCGTTCATAGCGCTTCGAATTTCGAATAGCCTTGGGGAAGGGGAGCTTATTGCGACAGCTAACTTCAGTAGAAAAAACAAACATGACGTATTCGCTGTGCTTCAAGAGTAAACTGCCCTTGCTTGAGCTATGGTGTGACGAGTGAATATAAAGGATATTCTCTCAAAGAGGTCTCTAGAGGAATATTTCATCTCTTGTTGGCTCCTCTAATCACTCTGTCTCGTAACCATCCATCAAATAAGAGTATTTCTGTATATTATATTTATCATCATCATTGCCTTTCTCACCCTGCACCAGGGTATAGGCCACGGACAAACACCCCCCACTTTTCTCTTTCCTGGGCTAGCCTCTTGATGTTAATTCCATGTCTTCCCACTTTTCTGTACATCGATTTCTGTGATTCTTCTCCAAGTTCCACGAGGCCTTCCCCTTGATCTCTTGCCCTGTGGGTTCCAATCCAAAACTTTCTTTGTTATGCAGCTGCCTGACTTCCTGAGAGTATGTCCAATCCATCGCCACCGCCTTCTTCCTACCTCATCTCTGACTGGTATCTGGCTTGTTTTCCTTAACACTTCCACATTGGTGACCCTGTCTGTCCATCTGATCCTCAGTAACTTTCTTAGACACCTGTTTAAGAAAACCTAGATCCTCTTTATACAAGTCTGCGATGCGTTCCATGCCTCACATCCATACAACAGGACCGACTTCACGTTTGAATTGAAAATCCTCAGCTTTGTTCGAAGTGAGATCTCTCTGGTCTTCCAAATCCTATCCAAAGATATGAAAGCAGCCTGTGTCCCTCTCTGTCAATTATGCTCCCAAGATAACAGAAGGATTCAACGTTTTCTAGGGCCTTTCCTTTTATTGTGACCTGCTCCTTTCGTTGTGCATCTGTCCTTAGTACCTTTGACTTTCCGGGGTGGATCCTCAATCCAACAGACTCCGATAGGCTGTTTAATACTGAAGTCTTTGCTTGTATCTGTTCCTGGGTGTGCGACAGAAGCGCCAAGTCGATATTATATTTAGGCCGGCTCTATTTCTCAGAACGTTCAGGAAAATAAACTTGAACTCTATTTCTTCGAACAGTTTCCGTTCTCAAGATTTGTTGATAATAAGCGAACGGAGTGGCTCGTGTATTTGTGTGTGTGTGTGTCTGTGTACATGTGTGTAAGGTGTGAACGGGGGGCGTGGAGGGATTTTTTTTTTTTACAACAAGAATTTTAGTTTTTGCTGGGTGACTAAATGCAAAATAGGTTACTTCCAAGGTCGAGCAGCCTTGTTTTCTCGCAGTACCCTTTGAAGGTATTTTCAAATGAAGTAAAGTAGTCCGGGAATGTTGCCCCAACCACAACTGAAGTATCTGAATATTCAGACATTTAAAAATTTCTAGCTCTAGAAATTGAATTCCGACGGAAAAAATGCTTCTTCCCAGTCCTCGATGAATGGCAGAATGAAAGGATGACGCATAAATCTCACAAATAACCAAAAGATGTCGAGATCTGAAACCGTTCGGAGAAATAGTCACTTCGTTATATTATCTCAGTGATTTTAGATAAATGTTGCTACAATTTTACGTTTGAGAAAAATGGGATGAAAATCCATAGATCTAGATCTAGAGTAATCGTACCGGCTCGGGCAGCACGTTTTTTTTTAGCTGTCGGGCACTGGAGTACAAAAAAATCGTTTAAAACTTTGTTTTTAAATCTAGCCCCAAAATAGTGGCACACAAAGCTAAAGCAAACCTCCCTTTCCCAGGAAGAGTGAACATTGGTTGTGGATGAAGGAGCCTGTGGTCTAGATTCTACGTTTTGGTAAACTCTGAAGGCTGGAGAGTTATTTGCATATGAGGCCCTGTCAAGGAAGAAAGAGAATTTGCAGTTCAGTTTCGCCGTTTTTGCCCAAAGGGGGGTGCCCGGATTGTAACATAAAATCCGTAGTTTCTCATCCTTCGGGCACACATAAGATAATATAGTGCCAATGGTTATAACAAAGAATCAAGAATTTGTGCATAATTTAAATAATAGTAGAGTCAGATACAGCATATTAGCTCAGTCAGACACCAGTGTAGAAGAGTCAGATACCAGTGTGTAACACAGTCGGATATCAGTGTCGCAGAGTCAGATACCAGTGTAGTTGAGTGAGCCAGATGCCTGTGTAGTAGAGTTAGATACCACGTAGTAGAGTGGGTCAGATACATACTCATTAAAATAGCTATAAATGGTGAAAACCACTTTAGACAAACTATCATTGTGTCCAAGTGTTGATAAACAAGCATTAAAAATCATGTTATTAAGCTTGCAAAGAGAAACAAAATTGATAATGATTGAAAATGACCGAATGTCAAAATACTGCCCAAATCCATGACAAAACCAAAAAAATGTGACCGAACACGTAAATAAATCGGGCGTCACTTTTGCACCCAGCAAGGGCCTCAAATACGAGAACAAGCTGGAACAGGTCATTCCTGGGGTCATCCAATCACAGAGCTTCCTGTAGCTGGTTTCGGTTTGTCTCTAGGGCAAGGCACATAGGAGATAAATAAGCTTTAAAGTCAACGTGCCTGTTTTCGTCCTAATTTTGACTGAACCGGTAATTTTACTCTAGATATCTCTAGATCTAGACAACTCTATCATATACTCTATGTTTGAAAAAAGGCCGTCATTCGAGTCCGAATAAAAAATTTTCATATTCGGACTCGAGTCCGAATAAAAAAATTTCATATTCGGACTCGAGTCCGAATAAGATAAGAAAAAATGTTATTCGGACACGGGTCCGGAAAAAAGGAAGTGTCTTCGTTCTATAGATCTAACGTTCAGTGCTTCCAATTTTCCGCCATTTTTTAGTTTCCCTCACACGTCCTTGTCTGCCGATCCGA